CCCCGTGACCACGGCTGCTGCAAAGCATCCGAAACGACGGGCCGAAGTTAAAAATCATTTTCAAATAAGTTTAACTAATATATCGTGTTTTAAACCGTTAAAGTGTTTTATTTAAATTTGTACCGGTCGCGTAAACTATAGATAGTATATCACTGTTTGTCGGGCTGTTCGGCCGACTAGTTGTTACGAGATGTTGTTAGCTCCTCGATTGCTCGAAGAATTTTAATTCTCTTTTCATTCACGTACCGTAGGCCGAACAGCTCGTAAAATATGGTGAACGATGGCCGTGAAAGCTTTACAGAATTTAAAATTTTTAGTATTTACAAGTACATACTAATATTACACCTGAATACAGCTAGGTATAGGGACTGTCGTAATTATTATCTGTTATTATCACGTCTGTCGGGCTATTTAAGACGCACGCAGGTTTTACACGCTAAATGTCCTCAATAGATGCAAAAATAACTTAGATACCAAGCATTGAATCGATTAAATGGTTCTCTTCCGTTCTAATTCTAACCACACTTGGTTTCTCTCTTTTCCGGGTACTGGACCACACTCTACGCTATCTTCTCCGATATTCAAGCAAAGCTCTTCATTCTTTCTATACGGCAACCATTCTACCTCTTGGTTCGTCCATGTTGGTTTTCTGAAACGATATAAAAGTAATTGTTATAATCTTTGTTTACCTGAATTTATTTGCGGGCATTTGATCAGACTGCTGTGCCTTGGCCTACCGACAATATGACCTTCCCTAGGCACAGGTCGGTTGCGACGTTTAGCAATGAATAAATTGAACATTAGAATTTTAAATGACTTTAAAACAATTAAACTGTATATCGTGTTTAACTAACTCACCCCGTTTTTGCGAAATTGCACAACGATTCACACATCATGTCGACAATTTTCTTATCTCTCTCGTCACACACTTTATTCTCTTTGTAGAACAAGTACTGGAGGATGTCTCCATGTGTCGCACCTTTCACGCCTAATGTCTTCATGATGCGCATGTTCATATTTCCTGCGTACGCGAACCTGCAAAGGTAGAAATTGTCTTCTCTCTCGCTCAATAGTTCCGCAGTGTATAAATTGTCTCGATTGAAATACGCGTCCGAAAGTAAATTCAAGTATTCCTCAAGCACGGAAGGACCGATTTCTTTATTTTGGAAGTATATTTCGTTCAAGCGTCGCTCTATTTCGTATGCCTCCTCCGATTCTTGTTCTATTAGTGAGGAGATTGGAATGTACTTCCTCAGGTTCTTATTGAAGCGAATATTTCCCGATCGGTCTCGGTTTATAAATAACGCCCCTTCGTGAGAAGACATCGACATGAGAATCGGCACGTTGAAGTGTTTATTTCTGAAAGAATGCACTGGATACTCAGGGATAACGGGTACTACCCCATCAAATTTCTTCTCTACCACTGGTTGCAAAAACGCACAAATGTTGGTCGGGTCCCTGCTGAATTCCGACTTCATACAAGCACCAAGTAGTGCCTCAGCAGGTGCTTTCGACAGTTTGTCATAAATCTCCTTGCGGCCTGAGACCGACTGTCCCAGATTGGAAACGATTTCCTCAGCTCTTTGTATAGGTTCGTTGCGTCCTATGTAGAAATCTGATAATGCTGATCCCGATAGAGCGATCACTTTGCTGAACACACCGTTCGCTTCTGAATCGAAAAGCGACATAACTATAGATGCGCCTGCGCTTTCTCCAAACGCGACAATGTTGCCAGAGTCACCATTGAAATTTTCTATATTATCCTTCACCCATTTCATTGCCATTACGACGTCTTTGATACCCGCGTTGCCTGGTACTTCAGGGGTGTCGAGGCAGAGGAAACCAAAAACGTTTAAGCGGTAGTTCGCCGTCACCACAATGACGTCATGGGGTATAAAATAGTCCGGTCGGTAATAATGTGAATAGCCCACGGTAGCCCTTCCGCCGTGTAGGTAAAATAGGATAGGTAGCTTTTGCAGCTTCTCACTCGGTAAACTTGGAGTGTAAATGTTTAGATATAAGCAATCCTCTGATCCTTCGGCCGGGTGCTTTGGCGAGGTCATCTGCCAGCATTTGTTGCCAGGCTTCGTCGCGTCGAGGATGCCAGACCACCTTTCACCTTTCCGCGGATCCTGAAATTATGTATATACACAATTGTTCACCAATAATTAAAAACTAGCTATGTCAGCGACTTCATCCACGTAGAATAGATATTTTGATCAACAAAATTTATTTTTGGAAACGTTCTCCACATCTTTATAAATTATAGCTCCACGACGCTGTCCGTATGCCGTCCCACCCAAATCTTGTGAATATTGATAATACTAAACTACTATTATCGGTATGTGTAACGACTAAGACGACTAATAAAGACAAAGTAATTAATACTGGTGTTTAAATCGTAATTAAAATAAATAATATTGTTCTCAATTCATAGTTAAATTTGAATTGTTTAAATTATGAACGAAAGAGAACTTAAAAGATTTTAAAGATCCTTCCGTTGTGTGCTACCGCTGTATTAATTTTTTTCCAAATTAATGTACCTATGTACCTATTAGAAAAAACTGATGCCCACCCGTGAATGGACGAGCCACTATAATATATTTTTGAAATAAGATGGCATCGCGGCGTGTGCGCATTCTATAAATAAAATAAATATGTCCAGTAAATAAAATAAAGAAGATTCTTTTGGATAAAATCGTGTTGTACGACTCACCCTGAATCGAAGTGGTCCTATGGGCGGTCGTGCATACGGAATGCCTTCGAAACTATAGTACTTTTTCCCGCTGGCTGTGACGCAGGCCCTTCCCTTTATTTTGCCCTGTTCTACGGAAACTTGGGCATCCGCATTATCTAAAAAATGAGAAGTAAGTTTAGGAATCATTCTTTTTGTGTTTTTTTTGTTTATTGTTTGCACGACTTTTATTAACACGGTATGTATACGGATATTATAAAGCTGTGTTTGTTTGTTGTAGTTATTTTGTAATAAGATGGTTGCGATATGGAAATATTAAATGGCATTTATATGTACCCTTCCACCTCCTAATTATCCTTACTAATATTATAAATGCGAAAGTAACTCTGTCTGTCTGTATGTTACTTTTTCACGCCAAAACTACTGAACGGATTTGAATGAAATTTGCTATACAGATGGTCTAGACCCTGAGAAAGAACATAGGCTTTACTTTTACTGCGAGAAAGGGGTTAAAAGGGGGGGTGAATGTTTGTATGGAAATTCGTGGTTTTTGAAGCTAGAACAATGAAACTTTCTTCTTTGGCTTTTTGGGACTAATTTAAAATAAAAATAGTTAAAAGTTCTACCCCAAGTCACTGTTCCACGCGAACGAAGTCGCTGGCACAGCTAGTATAATAATAATAAGAATAAAATTAGTTTTCCCACTTTCAGTACACAAACTCCAAGCTGATTTTCCGAAATTCTATTTATTCTACAAATTTAGCAGACAAAGTATGACAAAATGTACTCACTGTGTATAAGTTTAGCAGAACGATATTCAAACGTTTTCCAGCCACGACGTGAAAGCCGTCCTAAACAAATCCAACTGCTACCAATCATCGTTAATTCTTACTGGCAAATACTGGCCGTGAGCATTATTAATAAGAGCATTTCATTACATAATTATGTAAAATATATTTATAATGATTTCGGAATGTCCAAAGGTAATGCTGTTTGTGAGGAGTGATGTACGTCTAATTTATAACGGGTAGGTGTAACGGTGGCAATGTACGAGTATAGCAATATTATAATAATAATCAACGGGTCGTGGGTTCGTTTTCCACCGGGTCAAAGAAGTTTCAAATCAATTTATAATTTTTCTATAACATGTTAGACTACTGGTTTTTAAATTGGTTGTAGGAATATTGAAAATTCAGTACGGGTCGCAAACCACCATCTATACATGAAAAGCCGTGAAGTTTTATCCAATCTTCCAATATCCAAATCCAAAATAGGTCGACGCGGCGTTCACTGAAAACCTCTTTTACGTCTTTTTTTCACATTTTTTGTCAGGCATATTATATGCATTTATTCTACTAATAGTTCAGTCCATTTTGTTATACTGAACGAAAAGAGGTTTTTTTCGATTTTCGTGATTAGGAGGTCAAAATACATAAGTATACCAAATTTCAGACCGATCGGCGGTATGCGCTTTTCGGAAGTTTATCCCAGTTCTGTTTCCTCGTATGTTGCTTTTTCGAGCCATTCAGTTAAAGCTACTTTGACCTTGCGAGAAGTCAGTGGATAGATGTTTATTTTTAAATTAATTCTATTATACATATATATAGTTGGATTGTGTGCTATATTGATGTCTCGCAAAGGCAGTGTGTACCTTTTCAAGATTTGCTACTGTATCTCGTCGTCTTTTTTTAGTATACTGTGCTGGGTTATACCTATTGTAACGTCTTATGTGAACATAAAGTTATTAGCAAAATATATAATTTTCTGACTGACAATAGCCCGCTTGTGATATAGAGATCTTGTGTGCGGTATCTAGAAGAATCTCTTTCTATCTCCAAGAATTTCGTTTTAGTTGCCCCACCCCAACCTTATTGACTTTTTTTTACCAATAGCCAAACCACGGAAGATCGGTGTCAAAAACACGTTCGGTTATACCCACGGTGTATTAACTTCAAATGACGACGTGATTCTATATCACTCTATTAAGAATCGACCCCCTGTATATTAAGTAGAATCTCGCTTTTCTCTTCATATGTAAATCTTTTATACCACGAGAAAAAACGATAATAGAGGCATAATATAATGATACATATTAAACCATGCGTTATAAAATACATCAATATAATATTAATACTTTTTTCTTTATTAATTAGACCAATATACTTGAATGTCTGTCTTATCGTAACTGTTTTCTGTCCTCTACATTAAACTATGACATTTGTTGGGCCTTCCGGCAGCCACACAGGTTTTGGTCGCTAAATATTAACAATAAATGCAGAGAAGTTGGTACCAAACACTGAATTGATTAAATGGTTCTCTTTCGTAATAATTCTAAAAAGAATTGATTTCTCTCTTTTTCAGGCACAGGACCAAATTCTACGCTATTTTCGCCGACATTCAAGCAGAGCTCTTCATTCTTTCTATATGGCAACCATTCTACGTCTTGGTTCTTCCATGTTGGTTTCCTGAAATGAGTTGAATAATTACTTATTTATAATAGAATACTTAAACAAATAGATCTAGTTTCACTTATTTATACATACTTGACGTAACAACAACAAAACCTAAAATACAATAAATACTGACTGACACATAAAATATTGACTGAAATTCTATTATAAAAATCGCAACTTCTAATAACAATTTTTCACGTAGATATGGGAATATGAAATGTATCTTTGGTGCGGGAAAAAACCCGATTTGCTCGAGAATAAGTCTATAGTGCTATGAATTAATTTGCAAACAATAGCATCCAATCACGATGTGACTTTAGCGACTGGAAATTGCCTCTTAATTCATAATTTATGAAATTTGACCCTAATTTTTATTCGAACGATTTTAGAAATTTGTTTCTAACTTTTCCAATTCTGCCAATATGATTATTATTTTGGGCACTTCTCATTACACAACAAAATTCCAATGATCTACGAACATACGCGTTAAATATTATTTTTAAGACAATTCCCAAGCGAGATTAGCAAAAGATCGTCGTATTGGAGAGTCTTCTTCCTAAAATCATCGTCTGGAAAGTATTAGAGTGTGCGGGTCCCAATCGCGAGCCAGAGATTCTATCGTGGAACGTTCAGGTTCGTCTTCCAGAACAAAATGCAAGATCGTCGCAGCGACGTCTTTTTAAAAGGCTTGGAAACGTAAAACCTAACATTTTAACTATTTAATCAATATCAACCTTGATTTGTAGTCTGGAATCAAGAGTGACGTTTGAAAACTTCATTATTGTTTACATGTGGACATGAAGGCACTATATAATTTAAAAATCGAAAACAAATTGAAAAACAATTTTTTTTAGTGCCTTCATGTGCAATAATATGTAAAAAATCATAAGGTTTTCAAACGTTATAACTTTGTAATTTCATCTTCAATGATTTCTTAAGCTGCAAAGCATAAGACGTTGAACCCTAATGCCCAATTGTTAAGGTTGAAATTACGTTGCGCTAGAGGTGCATGTATTCATAAGTTGAAAAAATTAGACGATGAGGTGTAGGACTTACCGAGTCCTACACCTCTCGCTCAATTGGTAGAGCAACAGCACGGAACGCTGACGATGCCGGTTCAAGTCCTACCCGAGTCGAACATTTTTTCAATTTATTTTCGATTTTTAAATCAAGAGTGACTCCAAGATTTCTAATGGGTATTACTCGACTTAAAGTCCTATCCAGTAATTAAAGTCATATTTTAAAGGGTTATTCAAGAATAACCCTTTAATATAAGAATGTCGCAAGCGACAAAAGGTAATTGGAATATACTTTTCTACATTAAGAAATAATTGGTTTTCATAATTTTTTTTTTATTAACGAATGTTAATTACTTTAAATATTTTCGTGTTACTTAAGTTTGCTAAACAAGTATGGAGGTCATTAAGATAAATTGTGAAAAGCAAAGGCCCAAATGGGATCCTTGAGGGACTCCAGAGGGGATCGGAAGAAACCTGGAACGGTATCCTTTCAGAGCAACAGTCTGACTACGGTTGTTAAAGTAAAAAGTATCCAATGTAGAAGATTTTCGTGAATGCCGATCCCTAAAAGCTTGCCTAAAAGAAGAGAATGTTTTTGTTTTATCGAAAGCCTTTGAATAATCAGCATCAGCACGACATCGACTTGTTGTCCTACAGCTAAACTTGAATATATAATCTGTAAAGGTAATTAAATTAGTACTGACACTACGACCTGGAACGAATATATGTTGCACTTATACACATATAAATTATGACATCCCTGCGATTCGGGCAAAGGTCGTTTCGGAGCACGGACTGTAGAGATGGATTATATAAATAAGAAATTGGTTGCTTTACATTCGAAAGCTTGAAATATAATATATAATAATGTAAGGCAATTGTCCCATCGCCGATAATAAACGAAAAAAATAAAGTAAAAAAGGAATTGGTGAGTTATTACTCATTGTTCATCACATGTAGGAAGCTTTGCGTTAAATCTTTAGTCTAAACTCTAAAGAAATTTTCTGTCACAAATAATATTTAAAATAGTAGTGTTATTTAATTTGCATTTTGTTGACGAAATAGCAAGATGAATTAGAAATGTAGAATTTAAGTTTTCGACAAACTCACCCTGTTTTTGCGAAATTGCATAAGGACTCGCACATCATGTCGACAATTTTCTTATCTCTCTCGTCACACATCTTGTTCTCTTTGTAGAATAAATACTGGAGGATGTCTCCATGTGTCGCACCTTTTACGCCTAATGTCTTCATGATGCGCAAGTTCATATTTCCTGAGTACGCGAACCTGCAAAGGTAGAAATTGTCTTCTCTCTCGCTCAATAGTTCCGCAGTGTATAAATTGTCTCGATTGAAATACGCGTCCGAAAGTAAATTCATGTATTCCTCAAGCACGGAAGGGCCGATTTCTCTATTTTGGAAGTATATTTCGTTCAAGCGTCGCTCTATTTCGTATGCCTCCTCTGATTCTTGATCTATTAGAGAGGAGATCGGAATGTACTTCCTCAGGTTCTTATTGAAGCGAATATTTCCCGATCGGTCTCGGTTTATAAATAACGCCCCTTCGTGAGAAGACATCGACATGAGAATCGGCACGTTGAAGTGTTTATTTCTGAAAGAATGCACTGGATACTCAGGCAAAGCGGGCACTACCCCATCAAATTTCTTCTCTACCACTGGTTGCAAAAACGCACAAATGTTGGTCGGGTCCCTGCTGAATTCCGGCTTCATACAAGCACCAAGTAGTGCCTCAGCAGGTGCGTTCGACAGTTTGTCATAAATCTCCTTGCGGCCTGAGACCGACTCTCCCAGATTGGAAACGATTTCCTCAGCTCTTTGTATAGGATCGTTGCGTCCTATGTAGAAATCTGATAATGCTGATCCCGATAGAGCGATCACTTTGCTTTCGTCGCTTTTCGATTCAGAAGCGAACACACCGTTCGCTTCTGAATCGAAAAGCGACATAACTATAGATGCGCCTGCGCTTTCCCCAAACGCAACAATGTTATTAGAGTCGCCATTGAAATTTTCTATATTATCTTTCACCCATTTTATTGCCATTACGACATCTTTGATACCTGCGTTGCCTGGTACTTCGGGGGTGTCGAGACAGAGGAAACCAAAAACGTTTAAGCGGTAGTTTGCCGTCACCACGATGACGTCATGGGGTATAAAATAATCCGGTCGGTAATAATGTGAATAGCCCATGATAGCCCTTCCACCGTGTAGGTAAAATAGAACAGGTAGCTTTTGCAGCTGCTCACTCGGTAAACTTGGAGTGTAAATGTTTAGATATAAGCAATCCTCTGATCCTTCGGCCGGGTGCTTTGGCGAGGTCATCTGCCAGCATTTGTTGCCAGGCTTCGTCGCGTCGAGGATGCCAGCCCAACTTTCACCGTGCTGTGGTTCCTGAAATTATGCGTATACACAATTGTTCACCAATTTTTAGAACTAGTTGTATCAGCGACTTCGTTCGCGTGGAATAGTTATTTTGAACAACATATATTTCCAAAGGTAATTTCTTTTTGTGACGAGTGATGTAAGTTTAATTTATAGCGAGTCCGTTGGTGTAACGGTTGGTTGGTTGGTGTAACGGCAATGTATAGCAATATTATAATGCTTTTTTATATAATAATATAAATATAAAAACCAACATGTTTCAAATCAATGTATAATTTATTAAATGTGCTGTAGTAATATTGATAATTCAGTACGGGTCACATCCATTTTTTAATTAGGAAGCCGTGAAGTGTTATCAGATCGGCTTCCAATATCCAAATCCAAAATAGGTTGATGCAATGAAAACCTCTTCCCTGTTTTTTTTTTGTTTCAATTTATTTAGGCATATAACATGCATTTATTCAACTAATAGTTCAGTCCATTTTGTTAAAATGTACGTGTATTATTAAATAAATGCTTTGAGTTTGAGATTGACTTTATAAAGATGTGAGAAAAAAATATTCGATAAATTGCCAGGCGCTAGAAACTCTTTGTTTGAACGCGCTTATCTCAGGAACTACTAGTTCTAATTGAAAAAATATAATGATTGGATGCTTGTACGGTTGATAGCCTATGGGAATCGTTTTAAAAGAAAACAATGAATATTTATAAGTCAGTGTTTTAGCACATAAATGCGAGAGTACGTCGATAATAAAATACTTTAGATGCTTCTTACTCGACGTTTAATTTCGCTCTAACAAATAGTTGACACTTGACTTGCAATGTGATTATAAAAATTACGCCGGATGAAGATGGACAGGCAATACTACTTTGAATGCATTTGCCTGCTCATTGATGGAATCCTTTACTGCGCCACATCAGTCAGACTATATATTACTTATGTAATAATTAACTTATACATACATTTAACAATCATTTAGTAGGCAAAAGAGGTTAGGTCTTTTTTTATTTTCAGGAGAATCAATTAATTATCTTTTTTATTACCTAAAACTACACTACGGATGATAATAGATAAGAACCAACCAAACAAAGTTTTGACACGATTGTCAAAAGTACGTGTGGTTGTACTCACCGCGTATAAGCTATTAACTTTAAATAACGACGTGAACCTTCACTCATTCTTCATCAATTTTTTCCTTTCTTCAAACCAATTTTTTGTAATAATTAGACCAATATACTTGGATATGGACTGTTTTCTGTCTTCTATAATTATAAATTAAACTATGACGCCTTCCGGGGGCCACACAGGTTTTGGTCGCTAAATATTCACAATAGATGCAAAAAAGCTGATACCAAACACTGAATTAATTAAATGGTTCTCTTTCGTGATAATTCTAACCAGAATTGGTTTCTCTCTTTTTCAGGCACAGGACAACATTCTACGCTATTTTCGCTGACATTCAGGCAAAGTTCTTCATTCTTTCTATATGGCAACCATTCTACCTCTTGGTTCGTCCATGTTGGTTTTCTGAAACGAGTAAAGATAATTATTTGTTAATCATTGGATGCCCTGTGTGTTTACCTGATTTTATTTTCCGCACCGGTCGGTTGCAATTTAATGGAATATTATAATTTTAAGTGTCTTAAAAAAATATATACTAATATATAAAGCTGAAGAGTTTTAAATGCGCTAATCTCAGAAAGTACTAATTCGAATTGTAAAATTATTTTGTGTTCGTTAGAACAATTATTGTGGAAGGTGCAACAAGCTTCTAACATCGCGCTGTGACTACATAATAAGGGCGAAGAAACAGCAGGAAAAGGGAACAATTCCTCTTTGTAGGTTTTCTCTCAAACTCATCTTTGTAGGTTTTCAATGCGTACGCTGAGAAAACGGGTCAAGATATCGAAAGCATATATATGAAAGTCTAAAAGTCTAAAGTAATGTCCGCACTGTCGCGAATTTTTTATTTTATTTGTTTATCTTTTAAGATTAACTTGCAAGAACGAAGGGACGCGAACAACGTCTTAGGTAACAAGCGGTATTATAAAGTTGAAGAAGAGGTGTGGAAAAAGAAATTTGGAGCCCATAATAACTATTCTACGCAGACGAAGTCGTACACACCTAATATGTTGTGTGTCGTGTGTGTCATACTCACCCTGTTTTTGCGAAATTGCACAACGACTCGCACAACATGTTGACGATTTTTTTATCTTTCTCGTCGCACACCTTGTTCTCTTTGTAGAACAAGTACTGGAGGATGTCTCCATGCGTCGCACCTTTCACGCCCATGGACCTCATGACGCGCAAATTCATATTTCCTGCATACGCGAACCTACAAAAGTAGAAATTATCTTCTCTCTTGGCCAATAGTTCCGCAGTGTATAAAATGTCTCGATTGATGTACACGTCCGAAAGTAAATTCAAGTATTCCTCGAGAGCGGAAGGTCCAATCTCTTTATTTTGGAAGTAAATTTCGTTCAAACGTCGCTCTATTTCGTATGCCTCCTGCGATTCTTGGTCTAGAAGTGTGAATAAGGGAATGTACTTCCTCAGGTTTTTATTGAAGAGAATATTTCCCGATCGGTCTCGGTTAACGAATAACGCCCCTTCGTGGGACGACATGGTCATGAGGATCGGCACGTTAAAGTGCTTACTTTTGAAAGAATGCACAGGATTCTCGGTGATGGCGGGCACTACCCCTTCAAATTTCTTCTCTACCACCGGTTGCAAGAACGCACAAACGGTGGTCGGGTCCCTGCCGAATTCTGACTTCATACAAGCACCAAGTAGTGCCTCAGCTGGTGTTTTCAACAGTTTGTCATACATTTCCTTGCGGCCTGATATCGACTCTCCCAGATTGGAAACGATCTCTTTTGCCTTATTTAAAGGATCGCTGTAACCTATGTAAAAATCGGATAACCCTGTTCCCGATAAAGCGATCATTTTGCTGAACACTCCATTCGCCTCTGAATCGAAAAGCGACATAACTATAGATGCGCCTGCGCTTTCCCCAAATGCGACAATGTTGTTAGAGTCACCATTGAAATTTTCTATATTATCTTTCACCCATTTCATTGCCATTACGACGTCTTTGATGCCCGCGTTGCCTGGTACTTCGGGGGTGTCGAGACAGAGGAAACCAAAAACGTTTAAGCGGTAGTTTGCCGTCACCACGATGACGTCATGGGGTATAAAATAATCCGGTCGGTAGTAATGTGAATAGCCCATGATAGCCCTTCCACCGTGTAGGTAAAATAGAACAGGTAGCTTTTGCAGCTTCTCACTCGGTAAACTTGGAGTGTAAATGTTTAGATATAAGCAATCCTCTGATCCTTCGGCCGGGTGCTTTGGCGAGGTCATCTGCCAGCATTTGTTGCCAGGCTTCGTCGCGTCGAGGATGCCAGACCAACTTTCACCTTGCTGTGGTTCCTGAAATTATGCGTATACACAATTGTTCACCAATTCTAAAAAACTATTTGTATCAGCGACTTCGCTCGCGTGGAATAGTTATTCTCCTCCACATCTTTATAAATTATAGTCTCACAACGTTGTCCGCATCCTGTCCCACCCAAAATCTTGTGAATATTGATGAGAGAACAGAAGTAATTTCTGCAATACTAAACTACTATTATCAGTATGTGTAACAATAAAGTCAAAGAAATATACTCCTGTTTAAATCGTAATTGAAATAAATAACATTGTTTTCAAATCATATATATTTAGGTAAATTTCAATTGTTCAAATTATGGACAAATTAAGAACTTAAAAAGTTTTAAAGATCCTTTCGTTGTGTGCTACCGTTAATTAAAATTTTTCCACATTAATGTATTTATTAGAAAAAACTGATGTCCACCCGTGCCACCACATGTGACGAGCCACTTTAATTTATTTTTGAAATAAGATGGCATCTGGCAAAATAAAGATGTCCGGTAAATAAAATAAAGAATATTCTCAGTGACAAAAGCCTGTGTAGTTTCAAGACTCACCCTGAATCTAAGTGGTCCTATGGGCGGTCGTGCATACGGAATACCTTCGAAACTATAGTACTTGTTCCCACTGGCTGTGACACACGCCCTTCCCTTCATTTTGCCCTGTGCTACGGAAACTTGAGCATCCACATTCTCTAAAAAAATTAAAAGTAAGTTTGGGAATCATTCTTTGTTATAGTTATTTTAAAGTAAGATGTTTGCGATATGTAAATATCTAACTATGTACCCTCCCACGTCCTAATTGTATATTAGTAAATAAGAATAAAATTAGTTCTCCCACTTTCGGTACACAAACTCTAAGCCGATTTTCCGAAATTCTAACAAGCAAACAAAGTATGACGAAATGTACTCACTGTGTATATATTTAGCGGAACCACTTTCAAACGTTTTCCTACCACGACGTGAGAGCCGTCCTAAAGAAATCCAACTTCCACCAATCATCGCTAATTCTTACTGGCAAATACTGGTCGTGAGCATTATTAATAAACGAATTTTATTACATAATAATCTGAAATTAGATTTATAATTATTTCAGGATTCCAAATGTGATGCTTTTTGCTAAAAGTTTTTACGGCGAATATATATAGCTGGGTACTTAGCAGTGTAGCACGTAACATAAGAATGATTACTCTTTAAATGATCGAGAAAAATGTCCGCGACACAGTATGACAACTTGCAAGAAGGACGGGGTCCGAACGACAAGTTGCGAGTGACAGGACGCGACCGATGCCGTGGGCAGCTTAAATTTATAAAGATGTAGAGGTTTGCAATAACAAATTTTATGCCCAGACTATTCTACGCGGACGAAGTTATGACACAGCTAGTAATTTATGAAGCTGAGAATGTTGTTTGCAAAAATACATATTGCTCCCAAAATAAATATTCCACACGCGTTGCGAATACATATTCCACCGAAGTTGCAGGTACACCTAATGTTATGATAATTACCCTAATAAAAGAAAACAGTTTATGTTTAGAAGTCAGGCTATATATTACTTATTTAATAATTAACGTACACATAAATTACTTATAGATTTAACGATGATTTAGTAGGCAAAAGTCTTCTCTTATTTTCAGGTGGATTCAATTAATTGGCTTTTTATTACCGATAACCAGACTACAGAAGAATAGATAAGAACCAACCAAACGTACTTTTGACACGATCGTGTCAAATATATGTTTGGTCGTACCCATGGTGTATAAGGTATTAACTTCAAATGACGATGATTCCTATATCACTTTATTTTAAGTTGAATCATTCTTCACATGCAAATCACCACGAGTACAAAGCGATAACAGAGGTACAGACATACATATTTTAGCATGCCCTATTAAAGACATAATATTATTATTAACACTTTTATTTCTTCAAACCAATTTTTAGTATTAATTAGACTATTTAAAAATCGAAAATAAATTGAAAAAATATTCGATTCGGGCAGGACTTGAACCGGCATCGTCAGCGTTCCGTTGCCGTCGTTTTACTCTTGTCTTGCCCGAGTCGAAAAATGTTTTCGAAATTTATTTTAGATTTTTAAATTATATAGTGCCATTACGCGCAATGACATGTCAACAATATTAAAGTTTTCAAACATTAATTGACCAATCAACTTGAATGTGGTCTACCGTATTTATTTTCAGTCTCCTAACTTAAACTATGACGTCTGTCAGGTCTTCCGGATCCACACAGGTTTTAATCAATAGATGCAATATTAATTGATATTAAACACTGAACTAATTAAATGGTTCTCTTTCGTGATAATTCTAACCAGAATTGGTTTCTCTCTTTTTCAGGCACGGGACAACATTCTACGCTGTTTTCGCCGACATTCAGGCAAAGCTCTTCATTCTTTCTATATGGCAACCATTCTACCTCTTGGTTCTTCCATGTTGGTTTCCTGAAAGGAGTTCAATAATTATTTATTTTATTTGAAAACGAAACACAGTCACATACAGAACAATAGAATACTTAAACAAATAGATCTAGAGTTTCACGTATGTATACATACTTGACGAAAATACAACAACTCTATAACACAACAAACAAAATATCTAAGTAACAGGAACAAAAAATAATAACAATAATTTAGGAACTAGAACTTAAATATACAGGTTTTGTATTTTAATTATTTACACTTTATTGCACAAAGAATATTGCATTTTAAGGTCCCACAAGAAATAATATGGTTTTATAATAAAAATTTATTTTTTTATTATAAAACGATAGAAGACCGGGGTACTTTGAAACTTTCCTTTTATCGAGTATAGGTACATAGTCTATTGTGATATAAGTTAATTTGCAAACAATAGCATCTAAATAGTCACGGCGTGATGAGCGACTTGATATTGTTTCTTAATTCATAATTTACGAAATATGATCCTGATTCATAGTCTAACAATTTTAGAAATTTGTTTTTAACTTTTTCAAGTCTATTAATATGATTATTATATTGGAGACTCCAGATTACACTACAACATTCTAATGATCTACGAACATACGCGTTTAATATTATTTTTAAGGTTGTTGTCTTTTTAAAAGGCTTGAAAACTCTTAATATAAAACCTAACATTTTAAAAGCTAGAGACACTATTATCAATATTAAAATTAAATTATAGTTTCGAACAGTGAATCCAAAATTTCTAATGGATGTTACAGTAATTTAAAGTCATATTTTAAAGGGTTACTCTTGAGACAAAAGGTAATTAAACTATACTTTTCTTCATTAAGAAATAATTGATTTTCAAAAGAATGGAGATCACACTGTAGGTCAGTACAGTGTTTAATTACTTTAAATATTTTAGTGTTACTTAAGTTTCCGAAACAAGTATGAAGGTCTTTAATATAAATCATGAAAAGCAAAGGTCCCAAATGAAATCCTTTAGGGACTCCAAAGGAGTCCAGAGCAACTTGGAACGGTATCCTTTCAGAGCAACAGTATGACTACGATTATTAATGTAAGGTAAGTAATTGTTCCATCGCCGATAATAAACCAAAAAAAAGAAATGGCGAGTCATTACGACAGCATAGCATAGTTTTTGTTAAAAGTAAAACCGTTAATCAATTGTAGGAAGCTTTGCGTTAAATATTAAGTCTAAACACTGAAGGACTAGTCTGTTATTAAATAGTCGAAGAATTTTTCATAACACTACCTTAAGATTAGTGATCTCTAAAGCAATCTCTAGTACATTTGTTACCTCTTAGACTAGTTCGCAATAATAAAAATAAATACATTAATATTTAAAATAATTGCGTCATTTAACAGTGTGATTGTAACATTTGCGTTTTGTTAAAGAAAGATAAATGTAACAAACTCACCCTGTTTTTGCGAAATTGCATAACGACTCACACATCATGTCAACAATTTTCTTATCTCGCTCGTCACACACCTTGTTCTCTTTGTAGAATAAATACTGGATAATGTCTCCATGCGTCGCACCTTTCACGCCTAATGCCTTCATGACGCGCAAGTTCATATTTCCTGCGTACGCGAACCTGCAAAAGTAGAAATTGTCTTCTCTCTCGCTTAGTAGTTCCGCAGTGTATAAACTGTCTCGATTTAAATACACGTCCGAAAGTAAATTTAAGTATTCCACGAGCACGGAAGGACCGATTTCTTTATTTTGGAAGTATATTTCGTTCAAACGTTGCTCTATCTCGTATGCCTCATTCGACTCTTGGTCTATTAGTGAGAAAAACGGAATGTACTTCCTCAGGTTCTTATTGAATAGAATATTTCCCGATCGGTCTCGGTTCATAAATAACGCTCCTTCATGAGACGACGTCGACATAAGAATCGGCACATTGAAGTGCTTATTTCTGTATGAATACACTGGATTCTGAGGGATAGCGGGTACTGCCCCATCAAATTTCTTCTCTACCACCGGTTGCAAAAACGAACAAACATCGGTCGGGTCCCTGCCGAATTCCGACTTCATACAAGCACTAAGTAGTGCCTCAGCAGGTGCTTCCAACAGTTTGTCATAAATCTCCTTGTGGCCTGAGACCGACTGTCCCAGATTGGAAACGATTTCTTCAGCTCTTTGTATAGGATCGTTGCGTCCTATGTAGAAATCGGATAATGCTGATCCCGATAGAGCGATTACTTTGCTGAACACACCGTTCGCTTCTGAATCAAAAAGCGACATAACTATAGATGAGCCTGCGCTTTCCCCAAACGCGACAATGTTGCCAGAGTTACCATTGAAATTTTCTATATTATCTTTCACCCATTTCATTGCCATTACGACGTCTTTGATACCCGCGTTGCCTGGTACTTCGGGGGTGTCGAGGCAGAGAAAACCAAAAACGTTTAAGCGGTAGTTTGCCGTCACCACGATGACGTCATGGGGTATAAAATAATCCGGTCGGTAATAATGTGAATAGCCCATGATAGCCCTTCCACCGTGTAGATAAAATAGAACAGGTAGCTTTTGCAGCTGCTCACTCGGTAAACTTGGAGTGTAAATGTTTAGATATAAGCAATCCTCTGATCCTTCGGCCGGGTGCTTTGGCGAGGTCATCTGCCAGCATTTGTTGCCAGGCTTCGTCGCGTCGAGGATGCCAGACCAACCTTTACTTTTCTGGGGTTCCTAAAATATAAACAAAATTATTAATTAACTTAATACCTTAAAACCGTAATTTATCAGTTAACTTATTGTGACCTACGGAAAAGTTAAGGATGCTATCCTGCACACGGGGACACTGTGCATAACAGAAATTTAAATTAAACACTTTTGATGGTTTAAAGTCTTCTATTGAAATGTATTCTTCTGGCGTAAACTACACTACCAATTGAGCTACCGAGCTCGAAAAACCTAATTACGCCGACGCCGACACATGGTATAGCCACCGCAGGTAGTAAATAAGAGAAATTAGTAGTAGTAGTAATAAGAGAAAATTCTTTTGAATAAAATCGTGTTTTACGACTTACCCTGAATCTAAGTGGTCCTATGGGCGGTCGTGCATACGGAATACCTTCGAAACTATAGTACTTTTTCCCGCTGGCTGTGACACACGCCCTTCCCTTCATTTTGCCCTGTGCTACGGAAACTTGGGCGTCCACATTATCTAAAAAACAAGAATTAAGATTTTGATAAGCCATTTATCATCACGCTACGACTTATAAGCGAGCAGGAGCGAAAAACGTAGAAATTGTATCAACTTTCAGAGCGTACACTGCACGGTTCATGAAACAATGTATTAAATATATTATTTCTCTTTAAATGATCAAAAAAAAATGTGCACGACAGCATGTATATATATTCTATCTAACATAATATTTATCTTGCACATAACAAAACAACGTTTGCCGGAACATCTAGAATTGAAATAAGTACAGTAAAGTAAGTGTAACTTACAGTAAAATAGTGAGTTACTTTCTTAGGAAACATATGGAAGCTGTAAGCAGCATATCTATGCAAACTTTTACTTCCTAATTTTAGTTTACCAATAAGAATAAAATTAGTTTTCACGCTTCCAGTATACGAACTCCAACCGGGTTTTTCCAAATCCTAACAGATTGAACTGTAGGTATTGTTATTAACAAATGTAGCATTTACTTTAGGAAAAGTATGCGACAATTTACTTACTGTGTATGCGTTTAGCAGAGGCATTTTCAAAAATTTTCCACGAACAACGCGAAAACTGTTCTAAAGAAGTGCAACTTCTACCAATCATCGTTAATTCTTACTGGCTCTTGCTTCACGGTCAGCATTATTAATAAAGGTTTTTTTTTTCGATATACTTGTGTGCAACTTATATGTAATAATTCCGGAATTACCAGAAGATTTTTGTAAATAATGAATTATGAAAAATATATGACGCTGTAAGTAGTAGTGGCCTGATAACAAAAAAAAATACAATATTTTGAAAAACGAGGAAACAAAATTTAAAGTAGACTTTAAATTGAAAATAAATTACATGAGCGGGCCTCGAACCAGCATCCGTAGGGCTCCGTGCTCCAACCTCAGCGTCTCTATATATCAGCGTTATATATATTTTTATTATAGAGAATATCGTTTGTATTCTCGTCTCTTTCATAAAAAGAAGAATTATAAAGGGAAACATGGAAACGAACACAAACAAATATTTATTTTTATTAACAAAATATTTTACAAACTGCTAGGCGTTTTAGTAAAAAAATTAAATTAATACATTGACGTGACGTGATGCGTTACGCGGCCTAACGCGTCTATATATATATATATAACCTGGACCCTAACTACATGTATATTATATACATATATACTAACTTAAATGGATTAAATTTAAACACATTAATTTCCATTGCTTGTAGTAATTAAAATTTAATATTTGGATTGTGCTGTATTACAAATTTCTTCCCTTCCATGCAAGTGTCTTCTAGGATTTGTGGCCGTTCTATGATGTGCTGACTACTGTCAGCTGGCCTTTTTGCTTGACTACATATTTTTCAGTTTCAGTCAGTTATATTTGGACTTGTTCTAATGTTAGCTAAAAGCCCATAGTTGAGGCACTTTAAAATACATTTTTTTTTAACCTTTATAACCAACATTACTTTTTTTAATATAGGTTGACATTTTGACAGTTCACCCCTATGATTGTACGTACGTACGGTGTTGTACACCCTTATAAGTGTAGAAAAATAAAAGGTACTTTATTGACAGGTACTACCCACATACTCGTGCTGGTCACGAACCTCCGTCTACAGTCCACAATCAATTTATAATATAGAGACATTTCAATTTTCATCAAGTGAAATGTTGCCTGTCGGCTCTTCTATATAAAAAGGTACTTAGTGGTAAACAATTATTTAATTGACTTAACATTTCTCTTTGTGGCCTTCCATACCCAAATAGTAACATATTTCACTAAGACTTTTAAATGATACCATGCTGTATATCAACTAACTACTAATTATAATTAAAAAATATTTGCCTAATCTTATGCAATATAGCTATTCTTTGATACAGTTCGAGGTAAAATATATTATTGCTGTATCAGAGTTACACTTGGATGACATTATTTTATTTACATTCACCAAAGATTTATTTTTCCATGAATAAAAAGCAATGCCTATGTCAACGACTCATTGACGTATCCCTGTCAGAATTCTCAAGGACATTAGACAAAATAAAATACTATCACCTTTGAATACCATTTCTCCCCACCTCCATTATTCTAACCGAGCACCCGTATTAAATTACAAAATCATTTGTATCGTGTATTACAATTTAGATCTTTGGCACGCTATATCCAACCAAACTTTGTTTCTACCGAATTCAGGTAAAGTACGACAGTCCACATTACTTTCGCCAATATTTAGGCAGAGTTTGTCTTTTGTACGATATGGCGACCATTCTACACCTTGATTCGTCCATGTTGGCTTTCTGAAATTAAATCAGAGATTTTAAAGACATTAAGAGATATATTCACAAAAAAAAACTAATAATATATCTATAATATTAATTTTAAATAATTTGTAATTTTATTATCGTATTTTATAATTAATATTGTGTTAATGAGAATTACTGTGTGGATATTTAATCTTATATAGTTAATTTTATCATAGCAGACGTATTCAACGTCCTTGTTCGTCTTGGATTGTAATATCGACTTTCATACTTAAGAATTAAAGTCGATTTCGACAGTAAGTTAAAATCTGGCTAGAATTGCTAATAGCATTTTGCTTAGGTAAGCATTATGCATATTAGTAATTAATTTTATTGTAATTTCACGAAGTATTATCTAGTCTTATAATTAAATTGTCATCATTTATGTAGCTTTAGATACTGTCTGTAGTTTACGCAAGTAGTACACATTTAAATAAAACACTTCTAACGGTTTCAAACGCGATATACAACGTATTTCTATGTGGTCAAAAAGCAACGCACTCGAACTAAACGCCAATAAGAAAAAGTATAATATGTTAATTGGCACCCCACAGCTCATAAAAAAGGTGGAAAGACAAGGTGTTCTAGTGTGTGTGGGTGGTGACAATATAGAAAGGGTAAAGGTAGCTCGTAATTTGGGGATAAACTTTGACGAGCACTTGAGGTTTGAAAAGCAAATTAACACTACGACTGCAAATTGTTTTTATCGCTTAAAGCTTCTTTATCGTATAAGGCATCATCTAAGTACCGATCTAAGACTACGCGAGTCTTCAGTGCTCTCAAAGTTTACTTATGCTAATACTGTGTATGGCCCCAGATTGCTGGGAAGTAGTGGGAAAGCTATTCAGAAGGTGCAAAACGCGTGTGCGCGCTACTGCTGGAATATTCCACCGCGCGCGCACGTTACTCCGTTTCTTTTAAAGAGTGGGTGGCTAAATATGGAGAACCGCAGGCGCCTACAGTTTGCTTCCCTGCTGTTTGGCGTCGACGTCTCCAAAGTTCCCTACTACTTATACAGTAAATTGATATGGATTGGCGACAGCAACAACACTTACCGCACTAGTGCATCTCTGTTCGGTCGAATTATGCCTAAAAGTCACACGACAGCTTTTCGACGAAGTTTTACGTATAATGCGACTAAATGCTGGAACAACCTTACCCCGTACGAAACGCCCCTTCTCTAAATACTTTTAAATCAAGATATAGGAAATTTCTAGCAGGGGAATTTCAGATTTCAGAGGGCGCTTTAGTCGCGTATACGCAAAACTATAAAGCATTTTGTGGTTTTCGATTTTAATGTTTTTTTTCCCATCTCCTATTTTATGTTTTGTAAATTGTTTTTTTATTTTTAATTGTAATTAAGGTATATATATATATATTCTACTTCAATGTCAAGCGTGGGGTATCACTGAAAATCGGCGTTGTGCCTACTTCCAGGTACAAAAAAAGCTGAGTGGTGTCCCTCCACATGCATCTATTATTATTATTTATTGTCATTAATTGAAAATTATTTAAACTACGGCCCGACATTTCGGAAGCTATGTAGCAGCCGTGGTCACGAGGAGACATACACAGACAATATGAAAAAAAAAAAAGTTTAATAAATATATATCGCGTTTTAAACCGTAGTGTGTTATTTAAATGTGTAGCTTAAGATTAAATAATTGATTGCTTGAAATTTTGCTATACGCTTGAGGTCATCTCGGGCGAAACGAAATTAAGAAGTGTGATATTGAATAAAATTATTATATAAGAAATAATATTTTACAACTACTAAAATATGGTATTAGAATTGGCCGCTTTCTCAATTTTTGGCCCGGGACACATTAAAGGCACCTTGTCTTTTAGTGTTTCACCTTTTTTTTTTTAACTTGGAGGAATCGACTCTTTACCGACGCCCCCGCCTGGCCGCTTGAGTGGCAGAAAGGTGTTTCACCTTTTTTTTTTAACTTGGAGGAATCGACTCTTTACCGACGCCCCCGCCTGGCCACTTGAGTGGCGGAAAGGTGTTTCACCTTCCATCAAGTGATGTCCATGTTTTTTTCGTCCTCCTCTATCTTAAAAAAAACTCACCCCGTTTTGGCAAAGTTACACCATGCCTCACTCAACATACTGACAATTTCTCTATCTTTCTCTTTGCACATCGCTGCCTTCTTCTCCTTATAGAACACATACTGGATTAAGTCGCCGTGCGTCGTACCCTTGATGCCCAATTTCTTCATCACCCTCGTGTTCATATTACCAGGGTAGTCAAATCTACATAGATATACATTTTGACGGTTTCCCAGCAGCTCCGCTGTGTATATGAGATCTCTATTGAAATAAGCGTCCGACATCAAACAGATATACTCCGTCAACGTCGAAGGGCCAATTTCTTTTTTCTGGAAGTACACTTCTCTTAAACGCCGCTCAATGTCATACGCTCTACTAGATTCTTCGTCCAGAAACGAAAATCTCGGTATGTACTTTCTCAGATTCGTATTGAAAACAATATTTCCCGCTCCGTCTCTGTGCAAGAACAACGCCGCCTCGTGTGTGCCCATCGACATAATTATCGGCACTTTATCGTATCGATTGTTCCTGAAGGACTCTAGTGGGTACTCGTCGAAAAATCGTTCTACCCTCTCGAACTTCCTCTCAACCACTGGAAGCATGAACGCGTTGATAACGGTCAGCTCTCTCCCGAGTTCAGACATCATGTAGGCACCGAGTAATTCCTCAGCAGATGCCTTCGACAACAAGTCATGTAAATCCTTGCATTCTGTCAGTTTGTGACCCAAGTTTGACGCTATTTCTTTAGCTTTTTCGATTGGATCATCGTCTATCATGTACAAATCAGACAATGCTGTTCCCGATTGGGCAATGACTTTACTAACCATACCTCTAGTGAGAGTCGAGGTTATTAAGGATAGTGCTATCGCTCCACCAGCACTCTCGCCGAACGCGATAATATTGCCAGTGTCACCATTAAAATTCGCTATATTCTCGTGCACCCACTTTAACGAAATGGCAACATCTTTCAGTCCAGCGTTGCCGGGTGCCTCAGGAGTATTAAGACATAAGTATCCAAAAATATTTAGGCGGTAGTTTATAGTCACAACGATAACGTCATGCGGTATTAAGTAATCCGGCCGATAGTAGTCAGAACAGCCCATGAGCAATCTACCACCGTGTATAAAAAATAGCACAGGCAGTTTTTGAAGCTTTTCAGAGGGTAGACTTGGGGTATAAATATTCAGATATAAGCAATCTTCAGAACCCTCCACTGTGCCTTTGACTAAGTCCATCTGAACACATTTGTTACCAGGTTTTGTTGCATCCAGAGTACCAGTCCAATTGTTATTACTTTGTGGATCCTAAAAAGTAGAAAACAATCGATCTTTTGAAAAATCTATTATATATAGGAAAAAGTATTTTTTTTTCACTAAGAACCCAGATTTGATGGCATTTATAATAATTGGTTACATTTGGCTAGGGCTAAGTTAGTTAAAATATTTGTACATTTAGAGATTAGGAGAAAAGGAGAGAGCTTACCGTAAATCTAAGAGGGCCCACTGGAGGTTTTGCGTAAGGTATGCCTTCAAAGCTATAATATTTTTTTCCACAAGGAGTAGTACATATTTTCCCCCTTATTCGACCTTGCTTTACTGTTGCCTCACACTCCATTTTACCTAAAAAGACATTTTGAAATGTAAGTATTTTTTTTCTAAACCCTCTACATACAAGCTTGGAGTTCACTTAATAGTAGGTGAAATACACCAGCCAAGTAACATCTTCACAAAATGCGTGAAGACCTATTTTGGCTTTGGATATCGGAAATCCACAGACTGAAAACGTAACGCGATTAAACTTCACGGCTTTTTCATCTATCCACGGTGGTTCGCGACCCGGATGGCATTTTCGATATTCCTACTACCCATTTCATATCCAGACCAAGTCCAATATGTTACGAATGAAAAATTACGAATTGAATTGAAACATGTTGGACCCGCCATACATTGCTACCATTAGACCAACGAGCCCGACAAGTCTTTGCAGAAAATGAATATAGTGAAGTTTATTGGATATACATATAACAAAGGCAGTTTATATCTCTGTGGGTTTCAGATGAGTACGCCTGGGAAAACGGTTCAAGATACTAAATATGTGTATGAAAGAATGATTCCTCTTTAAATGCTTGCAAGAACGACGGGAAGGGACGCGATCGACGTCGTGGCTACCAACCAAAGTTCATAAAGATGACGGGGTCTGGAAAAACTAACTTTGATGCCCAAAATAACGATTCTCGCGGACGAAGTTCCTGGCACAGCTAATAATAAATATGTATAAAATAATGATTCCGTTGTAAACAATCTAAAAAACACACGCAACAGTATATATCTATCATTTAAGATTAACTTGCAAGAACGACGGGTCGCGGCGCCGTTATGAGTAAAAAATAATTTATTAATATAAGGCACTTTGTAAAAACAAATTTTGGTGCCCAAAATCACTATTCTTCGTAGATGAAGTCGCTGGCATAGCTAGTATGGATATTAAATAACATAATTTATTCTGGAAATACATGTGATAATTTCTGTTAGTTACTAAATTGCTGCTAGACATTTTTAACTTTGTTTCCTTATGAATCCTTAACTAATCATAGATTATATACCTACAGATTTCTTATCACGATAAGTACAAAATATACCTATTTTGCCATTTATACAAAGTAATTAAGTGTGCACTTACCTAAGAATCACAAGTTACTGACAGTTTGTAACATATGTCAATACAAAATGTTAGTATAATAAACAAATATTGTACTTTACAGCAATAAAACAGGTAATAAAAATAAGTCTCAAAATTATGTCAGAGCCAAGTGAGAAAGAGAAGGCCATATGTTTTCACTTTAAATCTTATGATAAAAACATGTAAAAACTATATTGTCTCTTACTCACAGGGATCAAGCTATATTTTTTGGTTGTAAGTTTTAATACAAATTAGCATATTATAATTATCATACATGACTATTAAATGATTTGCACGTTTTTTTTGTGCTTAAAATTCATTGGTAAAAAACACAACATAAGGCATAAATTTAAAACAAAGTAATTACTAACATAGAAAACAGAGTTAATTATGTAAAATATAATACATGAAAAATATAGCAACTTACCAGCTTATGTTTTATTTAATAAATTTATTCCTAGAGCGGATCACAGAATGGCTCTTTTTATAAATAATACCTGAAGACTAGATAACAGGTACTTCTGCATAATAGTTTAGCCAATCGTGTAGAATATACCTATCATCGTGAAATCTGCAAATTTCGACATTCAGATCTAAATAACGACTATAAGTGATAAGGTATATTATTTGGTGATAAGTATTTATCAAAAAATGTGTAACCAGGTATGTTAGAGGTATTTGTTGTCACAACAAAATAGTGATTCGGGATAAGACAGCTCTTGTACAAAAATAGTGTAAAGTCAAAAGTATGTTTAAAATCACAAATTTCGTTTAAAAGTTTACATTTTTCAAGTGAAGGTCATCTTATTCACTATTACCACATTCAAATTTAATATTATTACATAATCAATTAATAAGTTAAATAGGAGCGTTTAACTTAATATTTAAAGTTTCACAAATGTATGATATACATTGTATATACATTATATATACACATATAATACACATAACCACATATAACACAAACCTCGGGTAATTTTTGATAAATTACTTCCTATGTCAATGTCAATTATCAAAGTCATTTCGGAAATTATCATCTGTTTTAAGTAAAATGAAGGATACTATAACAGTAAACAGATTAACTATACTACATAAAAACTTGTAAATATACAAAATAAAATATTTAAAATACTAATAAATAAGTTTAGGCGGTATATCTAATGCCCCGGTATTATATTCTTCAATATGATTATTATAAAGCAATGTTGTTTTTCGGGCGTAAGAGCCATTGGTTGCCTTTTTATTTCGCCTAGGTAGCGCTTATCACATTATTTGCAATGACAACATTTTTTGTCTATTGATGTCTTTGTTAACTATAGTCTGTTGCTCTTGTTTCTGAACGCAATTAGAAATCGGACATGGCGCCATCGCCTTTGGAACACAGTAGTGTGACAAGTCATGTCAGTATTGCCCATGATATATGAAAAAAACCAATGGCAGATTCTTTTTTCGGATTCGATACTTCGCTATCGGTGAGCTTTCATATATTTCTACAGATCGCGACCTCTTCTTTGGTATACAACGTTTCCATATTTCCCAATAAGTTGTATGCCAGCGTGCCAGTACATTTGTAACAAATTGTTATTTTCTCATTTTCTTCCTATTGTTTGTGACTTTTTCGCTTATACCTTACTTAATATAGCACAAAACTGAACTATACTTTTCAGTCTATGAGTCGTACTTAGTTTAAAAGTTTGATAAATGTGTCGAAATTCGTGTACTTTACCTAGTATGTATATATCACTTGTTTTTCATTCATACACTTGTTTTGAGTTATTATGTATACCTATTTGATTCTTGGATTTCCTGTTGGATTCAGCTACAATAAGTATTACTTATAACAGTATGTCATGTTACTATTTTAACGAATTATTACTAGTCATTTCATATTACTGAAATCCATAATCAACAATTTTCATTTAGTAATTAATGTATTTTTAATGCTACCAGAACATTTTCTGTATCTGCACAATTGGTTATAATTTTACAACTAAAAATATTGTGTAATTTTTATTATACGGAAAAGGCTGGATCAATATGGACCTATTGTGTTTAAATGTTGTTCACATATGAATATGTTATCCAAAAATAACTTTTACAACACTGATTTCAAATATAATGTTATAGTTATGTTAAGAATTATGTATGTATTAATTTAATTTTACTACCAAAATATTCCACATCATTCCTACTAATTAATATCTTAACTCACTAACAAAGTAAACTCAAGCTACTGAAAATTTTATATTGTTGGGTCCCAATTCTCCCGTTTACATAAGCCTGTGACACTTTTATAGTTTACTGGTACAAGAGTACTTTGATACTTGCCTTGGATACCCCAATGTATAATTAAAAAAATATAATAATAGTTTCTATCCTTTATTAAAAATTGATTTGTTTTTGAAAACCATATGGAAGGAATTAATGTCGACTTGACTATTGATTAAAAAAATATTTTTGATTCTTCCCACAAATCTCGATCTGGCTGTTTCTTAAATTGATTTCCTGTAATTATATAATAAATATTTAACAAGAATAAACATTTCAATATAAATTTCGACAGTTTAAAACGCAAAATCGATTAGTTAAACTTACCTACAATTTATTTTAAATCATTCTAGTGTTTTATTTAACGTGTAAACTATTTACAGAGAATGAATATACCTTTTCAACATTATTAAAATTTTCAGAACTTAAATGATGATGATTGTGGTGCTGAACCTTCAGAGGAGGAATATGATGCTCTTAACAATGAGACTTTTGGACATGACGGTAAGCAATGTAAATTTTCAAGTAGTCATAGTGTTTATTTTTATAAAAAGTAAGTCTGGCTTATACTAAATCTATACTAATATTATAAATGCAAAAGTAACTCTGTCTGTCTGTCCTTTAACTCCGAAAGTACTGAACTGATTTAAATGAAATTTGGTACACAGATATTTTAGAGCCCGAGAAAGGACATAGGCTACAACATAGATTGGCTGACTTAAATGCGCCTTTACATAATTTAATAAAAAGCCTCAATAATTGAAAATTCTACCCCAAGTCACTATTCCACACGGACACAGTCGCAGTCACAGCTAGTATTGAATAAATATCTGACATAAATATGTGAAACCGAGTGCAAACTTAACAACGCAAGGATATATGAATATTTCTAATAGGAATTTCTTTTAAAGCTCAAAACAGCATAATTATTTTACTAAAAAATTAATAGAATGAGTATTTATTAATTAGTATAGTAATGGCAACATAATTGATAATAACATAATATGGCAACATAATTAATAGTGGGTGGTATTTTAGTTGGCAGAATAAAAATAGATAATAAGTTGTAATGTAAATCTTTTGTCTATAAAAAGTGTTTTTCTATCAATAATTGTTTCACAGATGATCTTGACTGGGAGGTGGAGCATGAGCAGCTGGCCGAGCAGTTGGAGAGCAGTCGACGTCAGAATGCAATGGACGAGGCAGATTCTAGACTTGGTAAGGTTCTTTAAGATAAAAAGAAATAATTTTTCTACATACATGTTGTCTTCTATTCTTTAATTTGAAAACAAAATTTACATTATGCAAGAGTCTCAAGCCAAAAATAAATATAAAGAAGAGTTTTTTTTTAGAATACAAGTTTCGCAATTGGTTATAAAAAAGAGATTTTTTAAGATTCATTGTTATTAATTATATTCATTTAGAGATAGAGTTTATTTTTTTAGGTCAAAATGTCATTTATTTACAATTCTTTATTAACCAATGAATTAATCTATAACTCTAGAAGCATCACTCTCCCAGCTAGTACTTGATGAAAGTGACATCCAGCCGAGAACATCCCTAGGCTCAAATGTATGGAGGCATGATTTCTTTCCCACACCCCCTGTGGTAAGTTGCAAAACTATAGCACAATTCATTGCTCTATGCACCTATAGGTTGGCCTAATGTATTGTTATTGTTTTGTCGAGTTTCAAATACTTTAAATCAGAGCTGCTAGCTAGATAGATGCACTAATCTTACTTTTACAGACTACTTATAGATACATAGTTGTGTTTCACTGAAGCAATGTAGTTTACATATTCATATGTATTGCTTTGAGTAGAAAACATTGGGTAGTTTAGTATTTGCTAAACTACCCAATAAATTAAACTACTGACAAATATCCAACTTTGTACAACTATATTTTAAGCATACCTCTTACTAAGATTTTGTTTTCCGTTTGCATTGCTTGGAAGATAACAAATGGACTCTAAAGCAGCAGTTTGTGCCTAAATATTGCCCTTATTTTAAACTAAAGACTGAAAAATTAGTAAAGTAGTAATTTTCTCATTTTTCTGATTGATAATTTTCAGGCTCCAACTCTCAAGAATGTCTGTACGGTGGAGGAATTGGAGAGGCAGCTCCGCCAAAACCAGCCACCACAGAATTTCAACCAGAATTATTTTCAGGTGAGGTACTGAACATTATAAACCTGATGCAGTGTTAACTCCATATAATGTAACTTATATAGTACAGAAACTTATTAATGCAGATAAATTGTTAAAACTACCTTCATTTGCCAATTGGAAAGCCTGAAGAAAATTTGGTCCCAGTAACTAATTTAATCTAAGTTAAGACCTGGCAGATGGAGTAGCATGCCGAGTCTAAGATTTTTAACTCATCTGAAAAAGAAGACTTGTTTTTTTATCTAGATCGCGAAGAATTAAAATATTCTAAAAAAAACTGATTCAGAAATATATAGACAGACTTATAATTTTAATATATTTATATTTATTATTACTAACATTAAATTTGGAAAGATAAGGCCATATTTTTTTTAAAACGGACTTTTCTTCTCTTAGTTGAGTGCCGTTATATTAAGTTTACACTGCACTGTAAGCATTTTGTAATAATTTAACTTGTGTTGGAGTAATTTTTTTTTTATTGTAGCCCCGCTTCCCACCCGTCATATTACAACGACCACCAGGCCTACAGGCGCCAGTATCCTTACCCTTCGCGCCACAACCAATCGGACCCAACATCAACCAAATGAACCAATCCGTCAATAAAATCATTGGCCCAAACCAAATGACCCCAAACAATCAGATGATGCAAAATATGAATATGGGTCAAAATAAAATGGGGCCTTATATGCAAAACAATCAAATGAACCAATTTCAAAACAACATGGGACAAGGTATGATGAACCAAATGTCCCAAAATATGAACCAAGTGGGACAAAACATGAACCAAATGGGGCCAAACATGCATCAGGTGAACCAGAACCAGTTATTTCAGAACCAAATGACTCAGAATCATTTGCCACAAAACATGAATCCCATGGGACAAAATATGAATCAGATGACTCAAATTGGCCAAAACCAACTGAATATTAATCAGATGGGACAAAATATTAATCACATGGGACAAAGTGTTAACCCGATGGGACAAAATGTCAACCAGATGGGGCAAAATATGAACCAAGTCAGTCAAAATCAAATGGGCTCAAATGTTAACCAGATGGGACAAAATGTAAACCAGATGATGCCTAACGGAAATTTCGGGAGCAATCAGTATCATGTGATGGGGAATCCCAGAATGATAGCTCCACCCCCAGGTATGGGGCTGCCGAGGCAGAATTTCAACCAAAATGTTAATCATTTCAATCAGAACTTTCGAGTGAGTATCTTAATTATATCTTACATATTTTGTTCTGCCTATTTAGACCTAAGCATTAATCAATTTAATACTGTCTATAGTTTACGCGAGTAGTACACAATTAAATAAAACACTTTAACGGTTTAAAACGCGATATATTAGTTAAACTTATTTGAAAATGATTTTTAACTTCGGCCCGACGTTTCGGATGCTTTGCAGCAGCCGTGGTCACGTGCCGAAGTTAAAAATCATTTTCAAATAAGTTTAACTAATATATCGCGTTTTAAACCGTTAAAGTGTTTTATTTAAATTAATCAATTTGTCAAAGCTTGGATTGCAATGGTCATCCATGTCATTTAATTTCTTTCAATATAAAATAGATTGTGTAAGGGCTATAGTAATGTTTGTAGAATAACACTATTTATTATGTTTCCAGTAGTTTCAAGTCCTTCCGTTTACTACCAACGTTTTCTAATCAAACACATTTATATCATTTCGCAGGCCCCCAACCCCATAAAAACTGAACCAATGAACATGAAAAACCAGTCTAATAACCAAAAACCAATGCAAACTAATTCCAACCAGTCGCCCAAGAAGCGTTCGGAGCCCAAAATCAAAAGCCAAGTGTACAACAATTCTCAAAATAAAAGTCTGACGTCACAGAACTTGGTTCAAATAATTCAAAACACGCAAAGGATGCTAATGTACAACAGTCTGCACAATGCAAGCCACCACCCCATGCTGGGAAGGAACTTCAATAACCAAATTGTGCATCCTATGCTGGGACAAAGGAATGGTGGATTTAATGCATTTAGGTAAGGTTGTTCTTCTATAGTCCATACAGTACATTTTTGTGCGACTGGCCAAAATGGTAAATATGAAGCAAAGTGCATTTTTTTTTTTGATTTTACTATTGATTGCTTATATTGGCAACAAAAAAACATAAATTGTGGAAATTTCAGGCTTCATTGACATGTCTGTTAAGACAAATAGACCGTTTTACATATACTTAAAGTCTTATTAATAGATTTGTGTATCCATTTGGAAATATTGTATCAACAGTTCGAACACGTATCCAACTCACCCTTGGCCATTTTTATCGTTAGATATATTAAAACATGGACTAAATTTTAATGTGTATGTATCTAGTGTTTTACGTTTAATATTCAATAAAACGTTCCAGCCTGGATTCGTCCAGCGACGACGGCAGCACTGCAAGTGACGTCGACGAATACGCTGGTCTGATGACGCAACGGGAGAAGCAGTGGCTGATCAATATACAGATGCTGCAGCTAAACACCGGGACACCCTATATACACGACTTTTATTATACAGTAAGCTATCTGAGGTTTTATTAATATTTTTATACTAGTCTACTTCAGTGAACGCGATCCCGAGTCTTGAATTTCCTAAATATGGTATATTTCGCGTTTTAAACTGTTTCGAGTGTTTTATTTAAAAAATCGTTATGAGCTATCGCCTACGACCATTACAATAGCTGCCACAGGCTAATAATCTGTTGTAATATATATCTATGAAGATTTAATAAAGATTGTTTATTTGTTTGAACGCGCTACTCTCAGGAACTACTGGTTCGAATTGAAGTTTTTTGAGATAATTTAAATAGGATGGATCACTTTTCACATTATTTGGTGTCTTAAAATCGATTTGCAGCGCACGCAACGGAAGCCCTCAATAACAATATTCCCCTTTTTTATATATTTTCCATGTTTCCTCGCTCCTATTGGGGGCAGCGTAAATAATATAATTCCTCAAAAATTAGTCCGAACACAAAAGTAATGATTGTGAAATTTGAACCAGTAATTCCTGAGATCAGCGCGTTTGAACAAACTCTTCGGCTTTATACTAGAATAGATTAAAATTGCAAAAATATGTGACGTCACTCTATGGAAGGGGGATGTGTCACACATGTGATATTTATAGTACAGAGAAGGAGAGAAGGGATCTAGCTATTCAACTCTTAATGTGTTTTTTCATGTAAATAAATAAATAATTAATGTATGGTTCCTTATGTCTAATTCCAGGTGTTCTTAGAAAGGCAGGCGAATAAGGAGAAAGCTGGCGTGAAAGAGGCGCACAAGGCGAACCAACAGAATCATCCATTCTATAGCGGTGGTATGTATCTTATAGGAATGTAAATAAAATAAAATAAACTTTGTTCTCTAAAAAATATTTAGATTCTTCAAAAAGTATTAAATAATATGTTTGTCCGTCCGTTCGTCGTGATTCTACAGTGTTCAAAAGAGCAACGTGAGCGAGAAGAACACTCAAGAAACTCAGTCTGGCTTTTTTCAACATGTCTTTCAAAATAATACATTTTTGTGAATTCAATGACCTGAGGATATTAAGTTTTCACCTAAGTAAAGTCGTTGATGGACACTTTTTAAATAGTAGGGGAGGGGATTACATACTTGCATTATTATTATATATAATATATTTATCGCAAATAAGAAATGTACATATTAACAGACAAGCAAGGTATACCCCATACCCCCAATACCCCAGCCTTTAGCAACTAAACAAGATGCACTGTCGACCTATTTTGGCTTTGGATATTCGGAAATCCACAGAATGAAACCAAGACTTTTTGGCTGAGTTTTGATTATTGATATCTTAGGGGTGGCGAAGTCAATTGTTCGCTTGTGGCCTGACATGAACATCTGCTTACACGGTTACGTGGTTTTTGCAGGAGTAAAACAGGAAGAGTCCCACAGACACCGCGAGAGGCACAACTCGCACAGGCACAATTCGACGAGCGAAGACCAGCCCAGGACCTATGTACCCCTCCAGTTTGAAAACTCCCTGGGCAAATTACAGGTATTTTATATGTTTGAATATCTAAGAAAATTCAATCTAAAATGGTTTTTTAGTTAGGTACTTTTATACGGATTAAAATACTGAAATAATAATAAATTTGTTTATTCAAGCTTTTCAAAAGATTTTTTACAAGTGACACTACAAATGACAGACGAGGACAGAATCATGGGATTCTCTTGGTGGAAGGTCAAATAGCCCAGCCATATAACGTTTAAAAAATGATGCTCTGTCAACCTGATCATAATCCACATTACCCATTATTTCTTCGCTCCTATTGATGTAGTTCCTGAGAGCGAGTTCAAGCAAACAAACTCTTATTATATTAGTATAGATTTCGAGACGAATCGAACCCGAGATCGCTTGATTATTAGAAATACATAGCTACCGTTTGACCGGCGAGCTCGTTGTAATGATAAATGTTACAAATTGTCGTTTTTCAGTGTGGCAGTGTGACAGCGCCCCGTAAAATTATCGACGTCGAGGTCGTTGGTTCGGAGCCAGCTGGATCTAAGGTGTCGAGAGCGCCCAGTGTTGCCAGCACCACGCATCCTTCAGAGGTAATTGTTTGCTTTTTAGTTCTTAGAAAATTCAATTTTACAGCTTATTGATAAGTATACAGGTCCCAGTGCATTGTAATAAAACTACAGATATCCAAAAACAAAAATATATTTACGTCAAATTTATAGAAGTTATTATTTTTTTAAGTAAATAATTTCTGAGCTACTACTAGGTCGATTTTAATGAAATTTTGTAAATATGCTGAGAATATTAAAGATGCTTCCGAGCGATATCTTATTAAAATTGCCATGGATATAAGCACATCTGAAAAGTCGGAAAGTCGTCTGAAAAATAAGACGATACAATCGCATTTTAAACCGTTCAACGTGCTTTATTTCTGAGTCTACTACTCAGGTTAACAAGCAATCCTTAAGATTTTTTAAAAGTACCATTTCTGTATCTGTATCTTTCATCTCTTTCAGATACCGCGAGAAATGAAAAGGACAAAACAACTGTTGCTAGATATTGAAGCGTTATATCTAATTCTGCTGAGGTTGGAGGAGCTCAACGATCCATTGGCTATATCTAACGCACTTATACTCAAGGTACTGTAGCCACTCTGTTGAGTAAGCATATTCTCTTGTTTTGTATTAATGCACGTAGTCGCATTTTGACTATTTATACAACTACTCACGTGGCGAATACGTATTCGCCTTCACCATTTCTGTATATAAGCCTCTACCTTATTATATTAAAAATACACAGTAATACTCAGTACTACAGGCTACAGAGCCTAAAACCACTCCTGAGTCTCATTTTACTCCTTGCCAGTAACTGGCAAAGTATCATTAAACAAAAATCTCCCTGAAACTATTATTTTTCATATGCGTATACTATACTAATATATAAAGCTGAAGAGTTTGTTTGAACGCGCTAGTCTCAGAAACTACTCGTTAGAATTGAAGAAATTGCTATAATACATCTCGATGTGATGAAAAAAACAGCGGGAAAGGTGGGATCAACGGGGGGAAATTATTTATCCTTGTGAGTTCCCGTTGCGTACGTTTTAAGTTACCCAAACCATATGTAGAAAAAAATGATATCTCCTAAAAGGTTCTATAAATTTTTAAGATTAACTTGCAAAAACGACCGGACGAGAACAACGTCGTGGGTAACAGCTATATTTTATAAAGAAGTGGAGACAGTTTGCAAAAACAAATTTCGATGCCTAAAGTAACTTGTACGCGGACGAAGTCGCTGATACAGCTAGGCTATCTATATAATGCTGCTTGAAGCATGCAGCACGGATTGCTGTGAATGCCGGTTCAAGTCCTGGTCGTATAATCGAGTTTTTTTCAATCTATTAGATTTTTTATACATTGCTTGGTGTCAGGCTTCATTTGAATTTGGAAAAAAAATATTTTCTTTAGGAGAGAGAAGAAAAGCAAAAACTCTTAGAGGCCGCACAGAAAGAAGCGGAGGCCCAAGAGGACGAGTCGAACGTTTTCTTGAAGAACATCGAGTCGGTCCAGCGGAGGCCTAAGCAGGACAGCCCCAAGAGCGAATGCGTTGATAAGAGACAGGTGGGTTATCTTTAGTGGCTTAACAGGTTGTGATGAGATTTTGCAGTTGTCAACTTATTACTTGGGTTATATTTGTTTGTCTTACAAAATGAAAATGCTTTGTTTTTTTAACTAAAGTAATTATTTTCAAATACATATTATATGCAATTTTTTTATTTTTTGGGGGCGGCGGGAAGGGGATTCTTACTCTTGTGCTCCAATCTACACCCTTGGCATGTCTAAAATGTTATCTAGCATTGCTTGGAAGATATCCCCACTCCAAATCCCGGGGATAGAAGTCTGATCAACTCCCTTGTAAATAAAATTTATCAGTAAAACAGGACACAAATATGCTTGCCCCATGCCCCACGGGGGAATACGGTATTTCATTTTCAATTTCATCAAAATCAGGTTGTGAACTTGGCCATAAACCAGAAGCCGGTGCCAGTGAAAAACCTCTTGGACGAAGACAAGGATGACCTGCTCAGCAAGATGTTCGCCGGTCTGCTTCACGGGGACAGGTTGTCACAAATGTTGGCTGTTAGAAAGGGACGGGTAAGTGGCTTTTTTATCGTGAATAATTCTTACTACCAGTCCCATTAGTAATTAAACTATAGACCTAACTCTGAGGACACTTATGGTTATCAGTCTTAAATATGCTGTCGGACAGCGCTGTATATCAGTGCTGTAGCTACAGTTGCAACAACATAAGTGTGCCGCAAAAAATAACTTTTTTCCGATTTCCTTTAGCTCTTTTTTTTAGAATGTTTATATAGCATTAAAACATGTATTTCGTAATGCGATTCATATTAAATTTTTTTTGTTCTGTTACTAGTAGTCTCCTACTTCTTTGTGTCTTTATTTTTTATGTTACACGAAGACAGACAAGCGTAGCGTTCATGAGATGCAAAGAGAAATACCCCAACCCCATGATATTTAAATAAAATACTTTAACGGTTTAAAACGCGATATATTAGTTAAACTTATTTGAAAATGATTTTTAACTTCGGCCCGACCGAGCAAATAAGTTTAACTAATATATCGCGTTTTAAACCGTTAGTGTTTTTTTTAATGTGTACTACCCATGATATTTACCAAATGTTCTATCGACCTATTTTGACTTTGGATATTAGGAAATCCACAGACTGAAACCGCAACGCGATTAAACTTGACTGCTATTTTATCTCTGGAGGGTAGTTCGATATTCGTACCCCACTCAATATCCAGATTACTAGACGAAGTTAAACATCTTTCAGAAATATAGGGAGTTGAACACACGACCCGATTATTAGACATACTTTGCTACCATTAGACCTACGAGCCTAAAAAATAACTACAAACAGATAGGGAATAAACTGAATCTTGAGATTGTCTCTCATAAGTCGTAATATAACTTTCCGCAGACGTTGGTCAGCCGATTCCTCGCTCGAGTACCAGTTACACATTCGCGATTACGCTTCCTCTGGTGTAGGATTCTACGGGCTCTGTCTTCCAGCCGCTGCCGGTTCGACTCTCGTCTCGCTGATTTGGCAGATTATTATCGCAAGTAAGTTTATCATAATAATTCATACTCCTGATATATTTGAAAACTTTTAATATTTTTTACACATAAAGGCACTTTAATTTATTTTCGATGTTTAAATTACTGATATATTCTATAAAACATAGCGGTAGGAAAACGAAAAATTCGATATTACAACAAAAATGTGTAATATCATTGTTATTCGGGCTGTTCGGCCGAAGCGAGAAGAAGTTCTCGACGTTTCGCCATCACGAGCGGACGGCATCATCAGAAGATAGGTCCTCAATTTTCGAAGAACCCTTTATCGCTCATGTCGGCTGAACAGCCCGAATAACAATGATATTCTGAACCATGGCCGTGACAGCCTTACACAATTTAATTGTTAAAAATGAAGTTAATCAAAAATATTTAATTGTTCAATTCAACGTACTTGGTGCTCACTGACCATTAATTTAATAACATTGTTATTTTGGTATAAATTGCGAAATACATTAGCTAAGCCGTGACCACTGCTGCTGCAAAGCAATCGAAACGTTACGCGTTAGAATAAATACCGTTACGTTTCATTTAAATTTCTACTACTCGCGGAAACAAGTATAATAATGCTTAAAGAAGATCTTGTAATGTTTAAACTGTCCACAGGTATATACAGAACAACTCGGGCTGGACGGCGGTTTTGGAGTGCTGCGGTATTCTCTCAGAAGCGTTAGACCCCGCGAGAACGCCTTACGCCTTAACAAATGCTGTAAGTTGAATGACAGATGTTACGTAGTCCATGAAAACATACCACAATTTCATTTAACATGCTTCAAAAAAAATAATGTCTTTACAGCTAACACTCAGCTGCGTATGCGCACTAACAGAGAAGGCAATGGTTTTATCGAACACGCCAGACGCCACATCTAGCGAGCGACAGTGGTTCAAATTCTTAAAGACAGTCGCTAGAGCGCTGAAGAACACCACGTTGAACGTTGCAAAACCAGTTTCACCACTGCCAGAGAACAAACTGCTGCACCACATAAAGCAATTGGAATCTAGAAGCACCATCGAAATTCTGCAGAGGGGCAAACGCCCCTCGGATTACGCAGACCTGACGAAGAGCGACGTATCCGAATTGTTGGTTAGGTACCTGTGTTGATTTGTCGAGTTCGGCCAATGTTTGGTGTTGTTGGCTGATATTGGTCAATGTTTGGTGTTGTTGGCCGATTTCGGTCCGTATTCGGTGTTGTTCGCTGATATTGGCCAATGTGCGGTGTTACTGGCCGATATTGGTGATTCATTTCTGGTAGCTGGTATTAGTTGATGAATGAAACAGTTTGAAACGTAAAGTTGAGGCCTATTCGCGTTAAAACTTATTCAATGATTGATTTTAGACGAAGCTTTGACGGTAGGAAAAACTTACGAAATTTTATTAGTTACTACGTAGTTGAGAAAGTTCCTTTATTAGTTAGGTCTTATAGAAAAATTTTAAGGTAATAGCTCAGATTGGCGATTCATTTTCAACGCACCATTCTGTTTAGTGAAAATCAGACCTATTTATTTTCTGTTACACACTTATAGTAGATCCCGTTGAAGAAAGATCTAGCCGCCTCATGCTGCCTCACAATTGCCTTATTCAAATAACATAATCGACAGTTAGGGTTAATAGGATTAGTTCTACAAGTGTTAAAAATGTTTAAAAGTGAACACCCAACATTGGCCCCGACCTAGACAAATATACAACAAGCACTTGTATATGACATGTAGATAATGTTCGTCTTTATTGGATTTTGTTAAAGTTGAAGTATCGAATCTTTGTAATATACAGTGTAAATAATTACGTTTTGCCATGAATCAATAAAATCAAAATGGCGATTGCAATTTTCAGTCTCGTTAGTATTATACCGCGTTATTAAATCGATTTTACACTCGTTGAAATACAGTATGAATGTTGCGTGACGTATATACTAAAAGTTAAACACTTTGAACAGTTTCAAACACGAAAACTATTAGTTGAATCATTTAAAATTTCCTTCAACTGACTGAAGATGTTAGGTGTCCTAATGTCAAAGTCAAATCTTTTACGCTAGCGCCATCTGTTGAGTTGTAGTTAGTTGATTAATATTTTTCGCGTTTTGGACTGTTGAAAGTGTTTTATTTAAATGCGTACTAATCACGTGATTTCTAAAATTTGGATAGAAGCTATTTCAAAATATCTTTCGAAAAAACCGACTTTCTATCATGCGATATTACGAGATAAGAATATATTTCTGTTCCTATCGTGTGTTAAATTTTATCCAGTTTCAAATATCGTACATTTAAGTTGGTTATTATTTCAGTAATTTTCTACTTGAGCTTGGATTTCTGTAGAAAACAACAGTCGAGCACAAAAGCTAGGTTCGACGCTAGACAAAAGATCTATTTTAATTACGACGTTGTCTAGATGAGTATCTTTTTGTAAATTTATTATCATCTTGAATCAGAAGTGGGATTGGGCCAGCGCTTCGTAGCACAAATTGAATACAAAGCTCGCAACACTTTTTCGGTAGTTAAATTTGCATGTTCAAAAGTGTACATAGATTATAAATTGTAATTATTTGCCCGACTTCACTTCGTCACGCCATGACTGTCATTCTATTATTAGTTTAGGAAAGGATGACAAAATAAGGCTGTATCTACACTAAACTATTTGAGCGGATATTGAAATCAAATGCAGGATACCTGGGAAAACCAATAAATTATTTATATAAAACACTTTTAACGATTTAAAACGCAAAATGTATTTACTCATTTAAAATGTATTTTAACTACGACCCGGCTTTTCGTGAAATCTAGCAGCATGAATCCCCCTACTCTAGAGACGACTCTAGTAAGCGCGTCCGAAACGTCGGATAGTAGTTAGAATAAATTCTAAATATGTTAAGTAATACATTTCGCGTTTTAAACCGTTAGTCTCTTATCTAAATGTGCATTACTCGCGTAAATTTCAGACACATCGATTACTTGAAATAATCGAAACGGTGGTCAAAGAAATTTTGAATTGAAATTACACGCGACGCTAATATAGATTCAAAGTTAGTGTGATTATGATTCAATTTGCTTTGCCGATTTTTGCAAGTCATCGATTGAGTTTTGGTAGGTAATGTATCCTTTTAACAATTAGTTAGGCATTATATTCTACAGATAATAACTAAAAGTTTGTCTAGTGTGTATGCAGCCTTATCAAGCTTATTTAAACAATGGCAATTAATTTAACAACGGTGTAGGCAGGACTTATTCGCTTAGGCCCTTATTTTTTGTATTCTCATATCGGACATCACTTAATTTTTTTACTGGCAACACCACCGCTGCGATCATTAGCCGTCGATGCAATATAGATTATATCGATAAATCTATCTACGTATTTCTTTTTAATCATTCATTACTTATTTATGTAAATATTAAGATAAAAATTTATCCCCCTAGTTTTAGTTAGCTTATGTTAATTCGATGAAAAAAAGTATAAAATGTCGCTATATATTTAGTCTTGGGTTGATTATACATAGAAAAATCCATAGAATTTTTGAAAATGGAACTACGATATGTTAAAAGTCCATAAAAAATTCATGGAGACATTGACAACGGTGGATTGACATTTTCCGATTTTTCTAGACTGTGATCGATAGTTTTTCTTTTTTATGAAATCGATATTTCTAAGGTTCTTCTCTAATATAGACGAACATGGTCGAATAAAACAAGGTCTGACACTAGCTAATGAGTACTGACCGACTAATGTGGAAACGTGCTATTTATTTAATTTATGCGAAGAAAGGTGGTCGATGGTCAGCGTCATATCTCGTGTTGTATTTGTACCATGTGGAAAACGTCAGTCCATCACAAAATCACATTAATATATTTGTTTCCAAGTAATGTGACTTTGGTTTTAGGTGATAGACATAGCAACTAATAAATTGTAAAATTTTACAGTCGGTAACATTTTTATTCGCTCGATACACGAATTTATCGTTTGTCCTAATTCGCAAGCTCGCTCGATCGAGTTTGAATGTTTTATTTAGTGAATTTTATTAACGAAATTTTAACAGTTCTCGAAAACAAATGTACAGCTTTTAAGATATATCAGACCCGTTTTAAAACTGTTCAATTGGTTTGAATTAGTAAAAATAGCTTTTAATACATCGTTCGAGTAATAGTTTGTAATGAAACTGCCAATGTTAAAAATGGTGATTTATACGTTTTGGCTTATTGTTATATATGTTTTTTTAAATTTGCATACTTTTCGTGTACGAGAGATCCGGTTATATATATTTTTTTTTACTAAATATTAGTAGTTTTTAGTTTATTTTTTATCGGTAAAGTAATAAAATGGAGAATTCGTTTATAGTATTATGTGTTTTATTGTCCTGGTTATATGGTGCAATTAGTAATAAGACAATCCAAAGCCTGCAAGTGTGATGGAAGATGTTATTACCAAAAGTTCTCAATACATTCTGTGAGCGGACAATAAGTGGATAAAAGTAGTGAATCGTGTAGTGTAAGGTGTCCTGCAGTGAGGGAGGGTTTGCGAGATAGCGCGCTGCATCGACGCCTACTCACTGCCCAGTATCCATGATAATGCGGGATAAACAATAACATAAAAACAATTTATAACTTCGTGAGTTTTCGTTATTTTTTAATTTTGATTTTTTATCCCGATTCTGCGAATAAAAAGACGTTTGGCGTGTTTCAGCTTTAGTATCAACAAAGAATAACCTTGTATATATAATTGAACAATTTAAACAGTTAATTAATAAAATATATTTTTTAATGCATTTACTTCTAGTACAAAATATTCTTAGGCGAAGATTTCTTAAACATTTTCGAAGTACAAATAAAAAATAAATTTAAGTTATTATATACATTTTGTAAAGCTTTTCGCTGTACTTATAGTAGGACATAGCTTATTAGTGGTCCACAGACTAAACTAGCTTAATTAATATTTCCATATTGTGGGTAGTTTCAATTTCATACCCTCCTATTATCGATTAATGCCATTCAAAAACACAATGACAAACTAACAAATACAAAGAGCACACGACCAAATGTCCAATCATGATGGGAAAGCCCACTTTGAAGAACTTCACAAAGGTGAACTTGTAGCCGTGTTGTTCGGCCACTCCTGCGCAGACGACATTCGCACTTGCACCGATTAACGTACCGTTGCCTGGAAAGAGAAGGAGGATAAATGGATAGTAATTAGTTCTGTCTGTACATTGTGTAGGATACCTTGTGGTTTCAAAAAAACGATATTGATGCGAAGAAAAAATACAAACCGCCCAAGCAAGCTCCATACAGCAACGCCCAAATAAGTGGTGCCATCGGTAAGTTCAATTTGGGATTGGTACCAATAGATACCACCACTCGCACCATCATCGTTGTCAGTGGAATGTTGTCTACGAACGCTGATATTGTACCGGATACCTGAACAATATATATATTTTCGTTTTAGCGTTTGATGAGACCAAGAAACCAAACATTTTTATGGCGTTGATTCTTAGGAGGTACACTTATAAATTATTAAATTAGATTGGAAAAAATTTACGACACAGGCGGGCTTGAATCGTTAACCAAATCATTCCGTACTGCTGCTTTAACCACTTTGTCGTTGACGGGCTCGTTCGTAGCAATGCAATAATCAACAACATTTTTCTAATCTACTGTAATTTTTCAGAAACAAGTTGAACTGTCTGGATATCTGGATTAGTGACACAACGGATAGTTGTTTGGCCGGATACCAGATACCGAATATTCAGCCTCCTCACAAGCCGAATATCCGTTAGCGGGCCGCCGAATATTCGGCCGGCCAAAGACAGTTTTCTTTAGTTCAAAAGCTGCTTCTGGAGAGCCTAAAAATGTTGTATCGATTCAAATACACAGTAGTGAAGGTGATTCGCCTGCAATGTAAAGAAGGGCAGATAATGGCGCAATTGCTGTTCATGAAACTATAAATAAAAACTAAATCGTGTAGCAGTGTTTATAGTAAAATCATTTTTTGGCGGGCAGGCAGGACTTGTTCATAAAAATTGGAGCAATCGATTGTTATCCAAAAATGCAGAGAATCTCGTTTTTATTCACCACAATTTGCCGTTAGTTGATTATGCATACTAAACTCTCTTTTTATTGATCCATCCAACTGCTGCTCAGCTTTTTGTTAGTTTAAGATGTATGTTAAAGGTGATACTGGTAAACGAATATTGATAATTTGTTGTTGTTTTCTTGTATACTAACTAACAATTTTTCAAAGTTAATATATTTATACTAAACAAAATCACTATTCGGTATCTGGCCGGATACCGGATAGCAACCGTTACATCGTTTACATACATTTACATACAATTCGTTACATCTCTAATCTGGACATTAAATAGGTCTACCACCTAATATCGAATATCGTAATCCCATCCGCGTCACGAACTACTCTCCACAGATGAAAAAGCCGTGAAGTTTAATCGCGTTTCGGTTTCAGTCTGTGGATTTCCGAATATCCAAAGCCAAAAATAGGTCGATAGCGCATCTCGCTTGTTGATGTTGTATGGCTGGGGTAAATCACCTACCATCAAGGGAACCACATGCTTACCTGTCTTGTATAAAAAAAAAACTACTTGAGCTACCGTGTATCACAATATCTTCTTAGTTGCATATTATGTAATAGAAGTTTGTATATTATCTTTATATTGTTTATATCAAAGAATAATTAAAATTTTACATAATCTTATATTGAAAAAATCTTATGTGGGTAGTTAGAAAATCTTACCCATATAATCAACATGAGTGCAACTGCCAATCGGTAACTTTCATCGACTTGTAGAATGAGTAGTTCCATTAGACCTCCGACGTACAGGATCAAGCCTAGTTTAGATAGAGCCTGTAAAGTGAAAAAAAAATGTAAGTAGTTATAACTTCTTTTCGGGGGAAAAACGTAACATAAAAACATATATATGATCCGCCTTCATTTAATTATTTGTAATAAAAACTAAAAAATATCTATGAAAGAGTGATTCCTCTTTAAATGATCTAAAAAATGATCGTATTTGTATATGTCTATTTTAAAAAAACTAACTTGCAAGGAAATCGGGCCCAGGGCAACGTCATAGCCATAATTTATAACGGACGTGTCACAGGCCCAGCCAACATAACTATACTAATATATAAAGCTGAAGAGTTTGTTCGTTTGTTTGAACGCGCTTATATCAGAAACAACTAGTTCGAATTGAAAAATGATTGTGTTGGTTAAAAGGTTTTTATCGAGGAAGGTTATAGGCTATAAAACATCGCGCTGTGATTTATAGGAGCGAAGAAACAGCGGGAAATGTAATAAAATACGTACGTGGAAAATTATTCAACTCGGTGAGTTTCCTATGCGTACGCTGCGACTGTTAAAGACACCCGAAAAATATGTATCAGAGAATGATTCCTTTTTAAATTATCTAAGAAATGTCCCAAACACTGTATGTCTATCTTTTAAGATTAACTTGCAAGAACGACGAGAAGCGGCTAACGTCTTTGGTAACTTCTTAAGCTTCAATTTATAGTGGAACTTTTCTACGCGGACTAAGTTGCTGACACAGCTAGTGCGTTATATTTATACATACAAAATGAGTTCGAGTAAACTATAAATATATTTTTATAAATTTGTTACCTCCATAAGTACAAATAGTGCAGCAAAGAAGAGTAATGTGGACCATTCCACTCTGTGTAGTATAGGTTCGATGTCCGAGCGGTCAGCCAGCGTCAATAACAAGATGGCGCCGAGCAGAGCCGTCATTGCCAATGAAACCCTGTCTGAAAGAGAGTTTTAATTAAATAAATCACTTTAACGGTTTAAAACGCGATATATTAGTTTAAAATAAATTTCATATTTAAATAAAGCGTTGTAGTTTTTTTTTAGGACAGGCACCCATTGAGTTTACTTGATGGAAGGTGTTATACCCCAGACAAATAACACCTTAAGAAGATATGCTGTTGACCTATTTTGCCCACAGATATTCGGAAATCCACAGACTGAAACTGAAACGCGATTAAACTTGATGCCTTTTTATCTGTGGTTCGTGATCCGGGCGGAATTCCGATATTCCTGCCCTCATTTAATATCCCGATTTCCAGATTGAACAGAAAAATTATAGATCTATACTAATATATTAAGCTGAAGAGTTTGTTTGTTTGAACGCGCTAATCTCAGGAACTACGGGTGTAGGAATGAGACTGGGAGTTAAAGTTGCACTTACAACATAGATTGGCTGCCTTAAATGCGCCCTTACATAAATTAATAAACAGACTCGAATAATTAAAAATTCTACCCCAAGTCGCTATTCCACGCAGACGAAGTCGCGGGAACAGCTAGTTGATTATAAAGTTGTTGGACCAGGTGGGGATTGAACCCCGACCCGCTTATTATTAGCCCTCCATTGCTACCACTACACCAGAGCCCGTAGCTTAAAATGTAATCCATGGATTTAATTATAACGTTAAATAAGTCATGGAAGTAATTATACGTTGAAAAAATTCGACGTTGAGGTGTAGGACTCGGTAGCTCAATTGGTAGAGCAACAGCACGGAACGCTGACGATGCCGGTTCAAGTCCTGCGCGAGTTGGAAATTTTTTCAATTTATTTTCGATTTTTAAATTAAAATAAATAACTTACTCAACTCTGGTATGGAGTGTAGAAAGAATACAGTAACGACAAAGACTATAGCTACTGTGGACTTAACAAGTAGACCCTTATCGCGGATTTTGTACTGAAAAGAAACCGATGAATTGATATTATTTTTAACTAAGGTAAAAATAATACAATAGAAATAATGATAATAAAACTTATGATAGGGGACGACAGATAACCATGGGTTCCAATTGATGGAAGGTAAATTGGCCCAGCCATATAACATCTAAACAAGTCCTGTCGACCTATTGAGGCTTTGGATATTCGGAAATCCACAGACTGGAACCGAAACGCGATTTTTCCATCAATAAATAATGATTGGACAGTATTTCGATATTCTTGTCAACAAATTTATATCCATATTTCCAGACGAAGTCGATGTTACAAAAGTGTTAATAAATTGATTAAAAACAAGTGGAACCCGGCGGGGGTCGAACCCACAAGCCATACATTGCTTCACATGAAGTGCGTGAAGACTGTAAAATGTGAAACTTGGCGATAAAAAGGAGTGGCGGCGAGTTTCTTGACAGTTCTTCTCGTTCGTTCTACGCCCTTGATTTGAGAACTGGCAGTACAAATTTTAAGCCTTTAGTAACTAGTTGCCGAGTGCACCAAGTTACCTCCGTTAATAAATGATTTTCTACTTTGACTTTATAACAACGAGCCTACAATAAGATAAATGTACCTAAGTGGGTAAAGGGTGATTTTTTATCACCAGGGCATAAAGACGGATACAAGATTTAACTCAAGGACTTAAATTAGACACTAACTATAAACTTTGTGTCCTTTTATGTTGTCTTACCGTCTCATTGTAAACTTACCTTCCCTTTTAACTCCTCCAATGTGCTTTTAAAAGTGTCTTTAGGGCATGCACGTTTGTTCCTCTCTTTCACCATGGCGTTAAGCTGCTTGTTCAGTTTAATGATCTTTCTTTCCAATCGTTCCCTAACAATATTTACGCCATTACTCAAATGTGGGAGGGAATCTGCCGCGCGGCGCCATATTGAAATTTGATGACGTAATTCTGGAACAGGTAAAAAATGCTTTTGAATCTTTTTTTTTTATAATAGAGAAGAACAGACAAGCATGGGGTTCCCTTGATGGAAGGTGAAGAACCCCAGCCTATAGCATCTAAATAAAATGTGCTGTCGACCTATTTTGACTTTGGATATTCGTAAATCTACAGACTGAAACCGTAACGTGATTAAACTTCACGGCTTTTTTATCTGTGGATGGTGGTTCGTGACCCAGCTGGAATTTCGAGAACCACAGCACGGAACACTGACGATGCCGGTTCAAGTCCTGCCCGAGTCGAACATTTTTTTCAATTTATTTTCGATTTTTAAATTGTATAGTGCCTTCATGTGCATTAAAGTTTTTAATCTTTTAGCGCTGAACGAAGTGTAGGGGGGATAGTTGCGCATCGTATTGGTCCGAGGAAGACAACACGGCTGGGGAACCAATCAACGCAAGCGCACCCGCGTCCGGTTCCGTCCCTTCGATACCTTATTTTTGACTTCTGCGCAGGATTCGTTCAGTGCTAAAGATCCTTGCCGGTACTTATACCTTGTATTTCTCTAGGCACTTTGACTCGGAGTTTATTTACATCTCTGTACATAATATATTTAATTTGCAATGTCGTGTGTACGAGAATGAAGACGACACCAAGTGACATATGGGCTGTGAAGTTCGTGAAATTGATTCCCTGAAAAATATGAAAACGTTTTATTATTATGTACTAACGAATAATACTGGAGACTCCTATTAGGCACATCGCGATGTGTTATTAGAATAGAATAGAATAGAAATACGTTTATTCAGAAACAACACACAACGACAAATAAACATTTACATTTAAAACTTATTCTACAAACATACAAAATTTAATTAATATATAATAAATATTAAATAAATACACCAATATAGTTGCCTCCGAAAAGGCTGCCACTCAGCTACGTTGGGACTTATGTCCCAACACTGATATTATTATTAGCTTAAAGCCTTCCTCGATATATGCTCTAACCAACAAAAACATATTTTTTCAATTAGAACCAGTAGTTCTTGATATTAGCGCGTTCAAACATAGAAACAAACAAATTCTTCAGCTTAATATATTAGTATAGATATAGATACGTACAGCCTGAATAACAGCCTTGTTCGAAGCGACGATCACGTTCGGTGGGTCACCAACAGGTGTCGCTGTTCCACCAATGTTACTATATATCGCCATGAACATTAATATCGGTACTGGATCTAACTCCATAACTTCACATAGCCTTAAAATTTTACCACATTATAAATAAAAAGTAGTCGTTTTTGACCATCTCCATGTCTCAATAGTGCATTGAATTCTTTTAAATTTTCGACTCGGGCAGAACTTGAACCGGGATCGTCACGGAGTCCTGCACCTCATCGATGAAATCTCAACTTATAGATACACGCATCTCTCGCGCAATGTAATTTCAACCTTAGCGCATGCTTATAAAGTTTTTTTTTTAATATAGTGCCATCATGTGAAATACAATAGACAGTGCCGACACACCGTAATCAAGTCTTCAAAATTCCTAAGTACAATTCTCCCAGTCGCAGCACATTTTGCTTATTAATAAATCCAATTTTTAAATGATGTTTGCGTTGTGGAGAGAACCGCTCCAACAAAAAAGATATGTAGTGCAAAAAAGTACATAAAGAATGTAAAATGAAACTTGGCGATAAAAGGAGTGACGACGGTTTTCTTGCCAGCTTTTCTCGTTCGTTCTACGCCCTTGATTTGAGAACTTGTAGTAAATGTAAAGTTAGATTCTTTAGTCTTGTGATATTCTTAAGTGTATAAATGATACTGTCTATAGTTTACGCGAGTAGTACACATTTAAATAAAACACTTTAACGGTTTAAAACGCGATATATTAGTTAAACTTATTTGAAAATGATTTTTAACTTCGGCCCGACGTTTCGGATGCTTTGCAGCAGCCGTGGTCACGGGGAGACGGGGGGATGCAAAGCATCCGAAACGTCGGGCCGAAGTTAAAAATCATTTTCAAATAAGTTTAACTAATATATCGCGTTTTAAACCGTTAAAGTGTTTTATTTAAATGTATAAATGATTTTAACTTTGAAGGGATTTTAATTCTTCTTGTGAAATTCTACCATACCTTATAGTAACCGGTGACATCAGTAGCACAGTCGTCACATTATCCAAAAACGTGGACAAAACAGCCGTTATAATGCACAGAAGAAATATCAATGGCCAGAGTCGGCCTTTTGTAACCTAAAAGACAAAATGATGTTAAAGATTTTGATCCAACTTCAATAACATATCAAATAATACTGAATTAATATTTTGCATCATTTGTAAATCTGCTTGTAATATGTGCGTAATATCGTCGGCTATAGATATGATAGTGGAGGATGAATAAGCATGCTGTTCACTCGATGGTAGGTGAAACACCGAAGTTATATAACATCTAAGCACGCCCTGTATATCTGTGTATATGCCCGTGATCTATTTTGGCTCTGGACATTCATAAATCCATAGACTGAAACCGAAATGCCATTAAACTTGGCAGCTTAAATCTGTGGACGGTGAGTGATTCGGACGGAATTTCAATATTCCTACCATCTATTTAATATTCAGATTTCCAATCGAAGTTCAATATGTCTTATAAAAATTGATTAGAAAACTGTTTCAACTTGTGGGAATCGAACCCACGTTCAGGTGATTATTAACCAGGCATTGCCACCATTACACCAACGAGCCGTTCATATATAGTTATTTTTGTCGAGAGGAGCACAGGCCATTACAACTAAACGTATATTATAGAATTGCAGAAAGGTTTTGAGTATACTTGTGTACCTCAAACGTGAAAACAGCCAAAAAGTCAAATATCCCAGTCTCCGCCATGATTGCAACCAGTATCATCATGCTGAAGAGTAGCAGCAAAGTTTCCACGTCCAACCAGGATATCAGCTCAGGTAGTGTTGGTCTGTCGCCAACTAAAGCCAGAGCAGCTAATGATGTTGTGGATACTAAAAGGGCAGCCATCGTCCTATTTATAATCTGTGAGTTGTATATGCATTTAATTAGGATTAAAGACATCAAAAAAACGCTTTTAAACATATTAAAACAAATGTAACCCAAAAAACACGCTACATTGTGTTGAATTCGAATTGAGGTTCGAATTTCAAAAGAACATTATAATAAATAAGGGTAGATAAATCAACAGAAATATGTCTAATTTGTGTCTAAACTAAAAAAATGTACCACTCACCTCAAATATAATCAGTACATACAATCCACATAACAACAAAACCGCATAAATAACACCAGTAGCGGCATCTAGTGGATTCAAACTATAACTAAGTTTAAACGCGGTAACTGTAGATGCCGTTGTGCGCAATCGTAAAATATAATCTGTGCTATTTAGGCGGAAAATGTGTGATCTCGTCTCTCCTTCATTATAATTTAGATTGTTTGAGAGCGTTAAGTTCCAAGGAGATGATACCTGTAACGAATACGAGGTTATTTTAATAGAAACTGATAAATATGTGCCTTTTAAAACCTAACGAATAACCTGACCTAATTGTGCGTATCAATTAAGGCACAGAAGTCTCATCAACTAAAAATTAAATCGACTGTAGAATGTGTCTATCCATTCTCTACGTAGAAAAAACAGATTTGACACTTATCACAGACTGAAGTGATGTAAGGTTGAAATGAAACATTTTAATAAAACTTTAACGTTAAAACGCGAAATATATCAGTCAACCTTATTTAAAAACTATATCTTAACTACGGCCCAACGTGTCCGTTGCTTTGCAGAAGCCGTGGTCACGGGGAGACTAAAGATGGAGGGTGTCTCTAATGTCAAAGTAAAAACTGCTACGCTAGCGCCATCTGTTCCGTCGTAGTTGGTATTTGGCGGAACTGACCGGGTCCTTGCAAAATTTATTAACTAAACGTACCTCAGTAGAACCTTCAAGCCATACCACCATTCTTTCCCTCGCTTCATAATCAGTGACGTTTAGATTTCGTTCCATCTGAGACGTTAGAAACGGTCCAATTAATTTGACTGATATTGAGTCTGCATTTCTAGTTATTAAGGAATAATCTGTAAAGGATATGTTTGTAATTCCATAATTATAATCCAATGTAGCAGCTGTACTAATATACGAAGTGTTAGTTTGTTTGTTTGAACACGCTAATCACAGGTTCGAATTGAAAGATTATTTTGTTTTGGTTAGAACATTCATAATGCTTTATGCTATATGACTTCACGATGAGTTCGTTAATAAAAAAAAATGTGGATATAACGGGGAAAATAATTCAACTTTGTAGGCTTAAAAACGGTCCCTGACAATTATTAACGTCTATCTTTTAAAATACTTACTATTTATCTGATCTGGTAAAACGGCGGTAGTTTTGAAAACTTCATGTTTCTCGTTGTGCGTCAGAAACACGCCAGTAAAGAACACCCAACAGCCGAGTAGTAATGTCATTTTTATATAATGCCACGTTCTTTTAGACTGAAACATGTTACAATGTTATAAATTATGGTACTTTTTCAACTTAAAAGTTTGAAAAAAATTTACGAAACGGGCAGGGTTTGAATCGACATCCACAACGTTCCGTGATGTTGCTCTAACCAACTGAGCTAAACTCACCGCCCGCTCGCGTCCGGCAAATTTCCCGTAGGCTCTGGGTTTAGTGGGTAGTGGTCAAGCTGGCTGAACCCCACACTCCCCCCTTCACTTGATGTGGCCAGGCGGGGGCGTCGGTAAAAAGTCGATTCCTCCAAGTTGAAAAAAAAAAATTGAGCTACCGTGTCTTACACGTGATGCATGCACCTCTATTGCAAAGTTTGGTAGCTCAATTGGTTAGAACAACAACGCTGTGGACGTTGGTTCAAGTCCTGCCCGGGATATTTTTCAATCTAAAATCGTATTTTTAACTTATATAATAATTGATGATTTTATTATATTTCTCTAAGGTAACATAGTCAAGACAGTGACTGCATACTTACTTGCGCTTTATTCTTTCTATTACTGGGTGAATCATTGGTTCTAAAAATATATCAATAAATAATTAGACGATAATCATTACAATGTTCGTTAATTTAGTGGTCTAGTTCAATAAACAACCTTGGCTTTGGCAGTAGCAGTGTTTTTTCTAACGAGTTGGAATATCGAAATATCGTCCACAGTTTAGGAGATTTCCGAATGATTAATTTTTTAATTGTCTTTGCACATTCGGAAATGAAGTATCGACAGTACGATCGACGCGAAATATATTAGCTAACTTAGCGACTTAATTCTGTTAGGAACCAGATAGTTTCTCGAAATTCCAATTACGACGAAACAGATGGCGCTAGCGTAGTAGATTTGACTTTGACATTAAGAACATCTATCTTCAGTCCTCCCAAAGCATCGGAAAGTGAGCTATTTCGCGTTTTAAACCGTTAAAAGTATTTTATTTAAATGTGCACTCATTAAGTTCAGTCAATACTTGACTTCCGAATGTCCAGAGACAAAATAGGTCGATAGTGCATCGTCGTTAGATGGACAACAGCTGCAGTAATTCACCTTCAATCGAGGTAATGTTTTTCCATACTGTTGTGTCATTAACTGTTCATACTGCAACCTACTACTAACGTAAATAATGATATAATGATTGTTTATATTCATTGTCTTCTAGCTTAACAGACCTTGACCTTTCATAGCGATAAATTTTAAGAAAGAAGAAGAGGAAGAAACAGAAGTTTTTTTTAACATTTTCATGTCCACATAGTATTTTTGTATACTCACTCTCTATCACTACAAGTGACGTCATCCAAAATAAATTCTTCGACGCCACTTTTGGGTGACAAATCTTCTATTATTGGGTCTGAGTTTATCGTAGATTTGGCTTTTCGGCTTCCATTTAGCGTCTGATTTAGGTCTCCTCCTGTAAAGAACAACTCCTGTTAACTAAGCACTTCCTTAAAAAATTGAAATTTCATAGCCCCAAACAGCAGTGAATAGAAATATGTTTATTTAGAAACAACATCATTTACAATTTTACAACATACTATAAAAAGAGTTACAAACATATTAATGCTAGCTGCGTCAGCGACTTCGTCCGCGTAGAATAGTTATTTTGGACATCCAAATTTGTTTTTGCAAACGTCTTCTTCATCTTGATGAATTTAAGCTGTTATTAATGGCGTCGGTCGCGTTCCGTCATTTTTGCAAGTTAATATATATCGCGTTTTAAACCGTTAAAGTATTTTATTTAAATGTGTACAACTCGCGTAAACTACAGACAGTATTCATTTAATTTACTTTAATATCCTGTTAAAATATGACATACAGAAATATAAACGTTTGCTGTTGAAAAAATATCTCATCGACTTATTTGGCAGGTGTCAAATGTATACTACAACACGAGTTGCGTAAGCGCACCGTATTCGGATTTCATTATTTAATTTCACTTAGTACGGAGATTTTGACGAGTAAATAGCGTTTGAATAACACTAATATAGCTCTACTTATTTAAACATGACAAAGGTTTTTTTTTATCGCAATTTCCGCGGGCCACAAGTTCGATTTCTGTCTGCCTAACTAATACAAGTTTTTTTACAACAGAGTTAGGGCAGACAAGCATGAGGTTTTCATGATGGAAGGTAGGAATAACCCAGTAGGTAATAACGTCTAATCAAGATTTCGACCGTGCCTTGGAAATTTAAATATTAAGTTTAACAAATAACTGATGACTTATAATAAGCGATAGCGACTTATAATAAACCTTTCCCTCTACGGCTCGATGGTTTTGCCTAGCATTGTATTTAGGATGAGGTGAAAGACACAAAGAAATCTTCCTCCCCCATGGCCCAGAGGGAAAACGGGGTCTTAAACTTTTTACGATAAACATTTTTTCACAAAATATATTTAATCAATATGGAAAAAGTATTTACCAAGCTTTTAAATAAACGCGATATATTAGTTAAACTTATTTGAAAATGATTTTTGTCTCCGATTTTTGTGGCCGAAGTTAAAAATCATTTTCAAATAAGTTTAACTAATATATCGCGTTTTAAACCGTTAAAGCGTTTTATTTAAATGTGTACTACTCGCGTGAACTATAGACAGTATTTATTTACCAAGCTCTTCGCATTTTTGCCTTATCTGATCCAACGAGGGGTCCTTCTTAATCTCTTCTGGCAATTCGTTCCACGACTGCAAAGTATCCGCTGTGACGTCACCACACGAAACAAGGGAATAGGTACTCCGGTTCAATTCCCGGTTTTGAGATTTCTTGTGACACCACAGATTATCCATTGTGAGGCATTTGGCTGAAAATGTACAAACGTATTTTACAACATTTAAACCCGTTAAAATATTCGATGTTGTAGGTGGATCGAAGGTTCGATGCCTACCATATTCTTAGATTAAAAGTCTATTTATTATAAAAAAATGCGATACGGTCGGGACTTGAACTCGACTTGAATAAAAGCGTTTTTTTTTTGTAATCTGAATACGTTTTTCATATAATTCCGTCATGTGAAAAATATTTAAAAATTTCCAATCCCACATTCTTCTTAGGTTTTCGACTTGGAACGTGTGAAAATTAAGCGAGTAGAAAGAGGAAATTCGACCGATCAACCATGTTCCAAAGTTGGAAAGGCCCTACAATATCTCCGGGCTACGGTTTTCTGTGTGTACAAGAAAAAAAATTCAAGACATTAAACTTTGTTTAATAAAGAAAGAGTGATAGAATCGACAAAATAACTTTAATTAATCGTATCTAATTTAAAAACCGAAAATAAATTAAAAAGTTTTCGATTCGGGCAGGACTTGAACCGGCATCGTCAGCCTTCCGTGCCGTTGCTCTACCAATTGAGCTAGCGAGTCAGACGCAACAATTTTTTTAATTAAAGAGTGCCTTCATGTACAATGACATGTGAAAAATATTAACGTTATAATCGTATCTATCGTCTTGGTTCCATTAAAATTACTGCCAGAAAAAAATATAGTCGTATTGATATAGATGAGACGAAACAATGACCGATGCCAAAAGATAATAAAATAATTTCGTTATGTTGGCCAAAACATATGTTCTTATGTTACCTAACTATAGTATGTGTTGTATGCTATAATATGAGACAAAAATGTTTAGAAAAGCTATGTATAACTAATCTACTTTATAGAGAAGGACAGACAACGTTCACTTGATGGTAGATGAAATACTTTTTGGCTTTGGATATTCGGAAATCCACAGACTGAAACCGAAACGCGACTGAACGGGGATGATAGTTTTCGGACGGTATTCTGATATTCTTACCACCGATTTAATATCCAGATTTCCAGACGAAGTTTAACATGTTTCAGAAAAAATATAATTAGTCTAGAAAAATGGTTGACCCAGTGGGGATCAAACCCACGACCCGATGATTATTAATAGCCGTACATTGCTTCCGTTACACCAACGAGCTCGTCAAATTATAAACAGTTAAATAAAACACTTTAACGGTTTAAAACGCGATATATTAGTTAAATTAAATACTGTCTATAGTTTACGCGAGTAGTACACATTTAAATAAAACACTAACGGTTAACTAATATATCGCGTTTTAAACCGTTAAAGTGTTTTATTTAAATGTGTGCTACTCGCGTAAACTATAGACAGTATTTATAAACAGTTGTGAACCCCCTAGCTAATAAGTCTGACTAATTTTATAATAATATTATTGTAATCAAGTTAATTAATATTTTTGCAATAAAGAACGGAAATAGTGGATTACTGCAGTGGCGGGCAAGAGAGCCATTGATAGGCGAACGTATAAATAAATGTGTTAGTCCATAACACATTTGTTAGTACCATAGAAGCCTTGTTGCGGTAGTACTTTTCTCAAATAATGCGTGAAAATTAAGACCACTTAGTACAATTCATAACTTTAAAACCAAAAACGACGACAAACAACTACTAACAATGCTTTTTTACGCACTTAAGTAAATGTTTTTTTTCATGTTTTCCATTTGCCAGCCAGTTCGAAATTTAAATTGAACCTTCGATAAGTAACCTCTTCGGTCGCCATGTTGCGGAGTAGATCGTTCCATTTTTAAATTACACGACAGATATACAAGGTTGTCAAAATAATTCAAAATTCCAAGCATGTTTCAGAAAATAATGTTGAAGTCTCGATCTTGACACCGCTTTGAATACCTAGATTAGTCTAGATAGCAAGAAATAAGATAATACGCCCGAATCTTTATTTCGTTCATAAAAATTACGTAGAGATATTTTTTTTAGGTAAAATTATATTGTTACGAGGGAAATAAATAAAATTCCATCTATCTAGTCTTCCAACACGACTTGGTACTCGACAACTCACGGGGTTCTGGATTTGATTCCCTGGTGGTGGTGTGGGGGGAGGGGGGAGATGGAGGGGTGTATTTAAATGATTCTTAGAATTTTTTTTTTTTCTTTCTTTTTTTTTTCTTAGAAGTCCTGCAAATGAGCTGCTAGCTCAATGTTTCGATTATCGTTTCAGCGACGAGTTCATTCGAAGAAGCCGTCGGACTCAGTTATTATCACTGGTTTATATATGCAAATATATATGTGTTATATTATATTTATATATGAATAGCGGTGATGCAACAACTTGGTAGGTCTAAGGTCTTTACCCCTTTGTCCTATCAGACAGCGACAGTTAAAATGCATTGAAGTATACCAACACACGTAAAGTTGGTAAGACTTGATATTTTTGGTCGATCATGCTTTTAAACACCAGTAAATTGTTATTTAATAGTCTAGTAATAACGTTGATATGAGATCTAACAATGCCTGGCCTTCATGCATAGGCCTTGGTCACAAGCATAATCGTACTAATAAGAAGTTCATTGTACTGCGTTCTTACAAGTGAGGAGTGTAGATTTTAAGTAGCACTTTGAAATAGTAGGTATATGACTTCGAAAGCTGTTTCTGTTATCCTGGTCAAAAAGAGCCATGCTCAGGCCATATCCCAGGGTTGACAAATCCAACTCTGGCTGACCATAAATCGATAGTCGAAGGTTTTTTTCCAGCATGTTTCGGAAAAATTAGAAACATATCGACGATTAGCTGATGGTAGCAATGTACGTGCTACTATTAAACCAACGAGTTCGTTGGTGGAACAACTTGATTCTCTTATTAGAATAAGTCGCTATAGAGAAGTCACAACAGACGCATTTCCAACTTTTGGGGTTGTAAAGAGTGAGTTGCCGTAAATTATTTCTTAATTTTATTAATATTTTATTGCACTATAGAAAAAAAATCTATATAAGATAATCTCTTGGAAACAATATATGTCAAGAAATTTATTCTAATGCAACGTTAACCAAGGATTTCGATAACATCAAAGTTTCAGTTTAAAACAAGGTTTTATTTATAATCTATTTAACATAAAAAACAGTTCGGAATTTATTTTATTTTTTGTTTTCTTATAAATACATTTGTAAATTGCAGAAATATCTTCAGAATAATTGTGTTCTTCAAATCAAATCTATAAATAAAAGTCAATGCAACACTTTGTATGATTATTCATATACTAAAATTATTATACCCGTAAAACGATATTTTAAAAAAAAAGGACTACTTTAAAAAATATCGTATATATTTTGGTAATATTAAGAACAACATTGCTTTTTTATTTACCTATATCGCTGTTCGAGGTGTTGTTTAACAGAAGATGCGCTTGCACATATGTATACAGTCTTCTCGAAAACCAAAACGAAACTGTGCAATCAAAACATGTACTGTTTAAGTCAGAAATGATTTTGACATTTTACATTTCCATAAAACGTCAAATATTTGACAAGCGTGTAGCATTCTGTATGCAGTTCGAAACGCTTCTACAGAGTAAAGCAATATTAATCGATTACAGTAATCGAAATTTCAAGTTAATACGAGTACTTGATAATTTTTGATCCATTCTCAAATACATACCTTACTTAAAATGTATGGAATAAAGGACATGTACAAAAAAGGAGTTATATAATACATCTATGTATTTATTTCTTAAAATATAAAGTATACAACAAAACCTATCTTCGTGTATAAATAAACATTAACTTAACTAGTCGTTCATCTAATTACTAATTCAGGGAAAATTTTGACATTTTAAATTAACAATTTTACAAATATAATATGTATTTACTAATACTGCTTCTAAAATCACAAAACAGCTAAAAATAACATTATATATTATAAAAATATAATTTTATTGGTCAGATTTTTTATATATTAAAACTATAATATTTCCACATGTTATTGTACACGATAGCAGTGTACAAATTCAAAATCAATGCGTTTAGATTAAATAAAAAAAAACACAAGGGCGGGGTTGGAACCGGCATCCACAGCGCGTCGTATTTTTTTCCAATCTAAATAGATTTTTAATTTACATTTTTTTAAACTAACTTTAAAACTTAGTTATATGCTTACAAAGTTGTTATATATCACTATTGTTGAAAGACAGTCTTCTTTCTTGATTTGTAATTTTTAAACTTATGCGTAGTGTTATAAAAACAAGCAAACTTTTCGTGTTATATGATAAACTGATAGGCGATAGGTTGTTTTTTTTTTATTGTGGATAAAAATAGATTATTCTAGAAACTGATAATTAATTATAATCTATCACAGAATGTAAAGGTACCATTTAAACTTAAGCTGTATAAAATATATAGTTAAAGTATACGAAGAATTCCTCTTTTATTAAACCTACAAACAACGCTTTTTAAAATGGCGCCCGGTTCAAGAAAAGATTGTGAAAAACTTGTTGAAAAAAAATAACATAAAAAATAAACATTACACAAATTAATTTAATATTTTTTTATATAAAAAACTACTTTTGCTTCACGCAAATAGTAAACATTTTAATAAAACTCTTTTAACGGTGTAAAACGCTAAATGTATTAGCTAACTTATTTTGAAATATATTTTAACAACGGCCCAACGTTTCGAATGTTTTGCAGCAAACGTGCTGCTAAAGCAGTGTTCTGTTTGAACTATTTCTTATTCAATGTGAGAAAGGCTCAATTGATTTTGTCGGAATAAATTCTATAACTTTATCTCGAGTTGCATTTGTTTATAGGTTCTTTTTTTGTTTTATACAAAAAAAAAACTATATATAAATTAAAATATAACTTACATATCAAAATAAATGTAAAAATATAGTATCTGTACCTAGTGTGAATACGTTTTTAAACAACTATTTAACATAGATTTTTAAAGCGTCAATTCTAAAAATAATTAAATTTTAAGACAAAAGTATATAAAAATAGTGTGTGACACACGGGGGTGTAGAACCCTTCCTTCAACCTTCGGCGTACAAATGAGCTACCGCGCCTGCGTTATTCAACTCTATGTCTCAACCTCTATAAAATATAAATAATGTAAAATTTTATTAACTCAACGTATACCGTGTATAAATATTTTATTTAGTACAGAAACAGTAATAACTCAACTCTGCCCGACAACTGTGCACTTCTAAACACAATTTCACATAGCTTGGGGTTTCGACCTTTTTAAGTGTCGTATTTTAAAAATGGTTTTCGACGCTTCTTCGCTTTGTCGAGAAACGTGTATACAACAATATATTTCCTCAATTACTGCTGCTTGAAAGCCATTTATAAATTTATATACACACTAAACCAACTATTTCGTATACATCTATAGCCAAAGAGTACATTCGTGTTTTGTACTAATTCGGACGGATTTAAGTATGTATGTGTTTTACTGTGCGCGAATAATTTAGCATGTTATTTGTTTAATTTGGATAATTTAAACTAAACACATATATTAATTTTAATTTGGACATAAAACAAATATTTACTTTCCGTAGATATATAACCGCGAACGAACTAACAGAGATAAAAAATAATCAGCGATCAAAAGTTTATTTTAAAAATAAAATATATCTAGCTAATAAATTGACCTGAAATAATTTATACTGATTTGATTTTTTTCTTAATTTCCGACTAACCAGCATGTAGCGCGGATTACAGTGTTATTTATCCTATTATGTGTGTATGCTTCAGTGCCAGGTAAACACGCAATGACACAGGAGAAGATAGGCGGTGGCCACAACAAGATGGCCGATCATAACTGGAAAACCCACTTTAAAGAACTGCATGAACGTGAATCTGTAGCCGTGCTGCTCGGCGACTCCTGCGCATACCACATTTGCACTTGCGCCGATCAGCGTGCCGTTGCCTATAAGTATTATGTGTAAAAACTTTATATTCCGTTTAAATAAGCAAAGAATAATTTTACTTTAAGATTATTAAAAACACAATTAAGAATACTTTAATTTATTACTTTCGTTTTAATCATTACTGTCTTACCTCCTAAACAAGCGCCGAAGGACAATGCCCATATAAGCGGTTGTATGGGCAAATTGAGCGCTGGGTTCGAGCCCAGCGCAGTCACCACCCTAACCATCATCGTAGTGAGTGGTATGTTGTCTACGAACGCTGAAGACACGCCTGAAACCTGAAAAAAATAATTTAAAAAACGTGTTCAAAACTTGCTTAAAATCTCACGTGTAATCAATAAGTAAAATTGACAAATAAAATATTATGTATCCCACTTTGAGCAAAAGTTACTTTAATTTTTTTTAAGAAATTTGAGCTTTGATTTTGATACTCAAATAACACATTTATACACCATTTAACAACTTCAACGGATTGAAACTCGCTTCATTTATTTATCTGAGCGTCTTTACGTTGAAATATTTTATTTTAATCAGTTAGGTATTGTTAATTTTTCTCTTTACGTTGCAGTTAAACATTTTAAAATTGGATTTTAGCGTTTCTAGATTGGATTGTTAACTAAGGTGAACAGAGTACATCGTTGACTTAAAAGAAGTAGACTAACATACATAAAGGCTTTTAAATAGAGATATATATATATATATTAGTTTATTTATTTTGAATTGAATTTAACTATTACATTTTGGATGGTTCGAAGCAGCGATGGTCGCGGCGGTGACCTGTTAAAAATAGTTTAGCGGTTTAGGACTTACCCACAATAGCAGAATTAGGGCAACAGCCAATCTTGCGCTTTCGTCGACTTTCAGTATAAGTGCCTCAGTGAGGCCCCCTATAAACTCAATCAGACCTAGTTTTGTTAACGCCTGCGAAAAAATTTGAATTAAAACGTTTTGTTTTGTTCGTAAATTTCTTAAGAGTTATTATTAATATTACATATTTATGTCTTGTCTCAACCAACTAATGTCCCACCGTAGCTCAGCCCCACCTAACAACTAGTGCGGATTGGTGGGCTTTAACCGCTACCGCAACTTACTAATGAGTTTCGTATACTTAACTAAGACAGTTTTAACAGTTTAAATTGCGAAATATTTAACTTAGAATTACTTCGCATAGCACATTCGACTTTCAAATTAGGAGCACCGTGCATCCATAGATATAACTCCTGCAAACCATCAGAAACCTCTGACCGTTTCGCGTTTTAAACCGTTAAAAATGTTTGTTTGCACTACTGCAACAAACTACAGACAATATTTAACTTCTTTTTTTAAGATGGCAAAGTAAATGAAGTCAGTTAACAATAAGCCTGCTACACATAATTTATAAATAATCGATGTCAATAACCTCCATTAGAATGAAGAGCGCAGCGAAGAAGAGCAGTGTGGACCACTCCACTCTGTGCAGGATGGGTTCCAGGTCTTCTCTATCAGCTAACGTCAGCAGCAGGATTGCTCCCAGGAGCGCAGTCCAACCAAGGGAAACTCTATCTGAAAGAGTGTTTATAAGACTATGTTTTTTTCCATCCCGAGACAATTATAATGTGAGTAAAATATAAACTAAGTTGGTTATTTTCCCTAGTAACTTGCATTAATAGCTTACTGAATTAAATCAACTTAAGAAAAAAATATGCGGTCGCTACTCGAACCTAAGACAATAGCATTTCTTGATGTACCTATAACTTATAAGAGAGTATTATATTATATTATAGTATAGCGATGATAGAATTTGTACCGTATTTATGCCCATCACGCGCAACGTAATTTCAACCTTCATGATATCCCAATGTATTTATTCGCTTTCATGTAACAGTAACATTTTTAAACTTTAATATTTTTCACATGCACTAGATGGCATTATAAAAATTAGAAATCGATTTTTATCTATATGATAATGGGTTTTGGTTTGTAATTTATGTCCCAGCAGTGGGATGACTTACTAAGTTCCGGTATAGAGTGCAGGAAGAAGACAACGACGACGAAGGAGATCGCTATCGTCGACTTTAGCAGCAGCAACTTGTCTCTTATCTTGTACTGAAATATTTAAATCATAAATAAAATCCTATAATATGTATTCGAAAATGACTCGTGATAATTTAAACGTAAGCTATGTATAGCTGTCCCCCGACATCGTTCTTGCATTAATCTTAAAACATAGGACATATATTATTTGGGACATTTTATTAAATCTATCAGTTTACGCTAGTAGTACACATTTATATAAAACCAGCCGTTCAACAGTCAAAACCTCGGGTCGAAGTTAAAAATAACTTTAACTAATATATATCGTGTTTTAAACCGTTAAAGTGTTTTATTAAATCCACTAATATTAAATAAATAATAAAATACTAGACTTAAAGAGGAATCATTCTAAATATATATTGTTTTTTTTTACCATTTTCGTTTTATAGCCTACGGCAATAAATGGTCTATCCAACACCAAAGGTAACTTTTCAATTCGAACCGGCAGTTCCTGGGGTTAGAACGTTCTAACAAACAAACTCTTCAGCTTTACAATATTAGTATAGATAACATTCTTTTAAATAAATCAAAATGCGCAAATAACTGCTGAATTAGTAGAAGAAATGAAAATATACAAATATAGTTTGCATTTCAACCAGTTTAAATGGATTGATTTGATGCAGCTTAAACTACAGACAGAGCTTGTTTTATATTGTTGTTTGTGAATTCGAAACTTCAAAGTCGATAGATAAATATAGACTAGACAAGATTAGATCTAGCTTTGAAGCCAAGGATGAAAACAAAATAGACGTCGGTTGTTTATAGAACGAGACATATAGTATATTTTGCCCCTTGGTCTAGTAACCAACGGGTCGTGGGTTGGATTCTTTCTTATCAAATTATAATTTACTGAAACATAGTCGGACTTCGTCTAGAAAACTCGATTTTAAATGTAGGTGGTAGGAATATAGAAATTCCGTTCAGGTCACGACTTCTGTTCACAGATGAAATTGTGAAATTTAATTGCGTTCTGGCTTCCATCAGTGGAATTCCTTATGCCTAAAGCTAAACTAAGTAAGTTATATGATTGGTTTACTGCACCTTCCAACGACCCCACGTTTGTCTGTCATGAAAATATTACATAAATTACCTTATCCTTCAGTTGCATCAAAGTGGTATGAAATGTGTCTTTCGGACAGACTCTCTTGCTACTCTCCTTGACCATCACTTCTAGTCGGGCTGTCAGTTTTCGCATCTTCTTCTCAAGTCTTTCTCTTACCACGTGCGTGTCTTTGCTCAAGTGGGGTAGAGACTCAATCGCGCGCCGCCATATTGAAATCTGATGACGAAGATCTGTGAAAAGAGAAGATTCTGTATAAGTGTTTCAATCTATACCAATATATAAAACTGAAGAGTTTGTTTGTATGTTTGAACGCGCTGATCTCAGGAACTACGGGTTAGAATAGAAAATGTATTAAATACTGACCCCCGAGTGTCCCCGTGACCACGGCTGCTGCAAAGCATCCGAAACGTCGAGCCGAAGTTAAAAATCATATTTCAAATAAGTTCAACTAATATATATCGCGTTTTCCAGCCCTTAAAGTATACCGTAAATATAATTATTTTGATCTTCTCTTCTCCTTTTTAACATTATTATTTTTAAATTTTGAAACCTAAAGTTTAAACTTACGACTACACAGTAAAACTCACCCTGTATATCTCTAGGTACATTCAGACGTAGCTTGTTCGTGTCTCTATAGATGAAACGCAATTGGAAGTACGTTTGAACACAGACCAACACGATGCCGAGCGTCATATGCATTGTGAAGTTTGTGAAATTTATGCCCTGAAAATGTTGTTCAATATAATCATAAAGGTTCGGTTTCAGAATGACCAAGAAGAGTTTAATCTAAAGGCACACCGAGCCTTATGTGTTAGTGGCGAGTATATTCTTCTTGTACACTAACTACGCGCTAAACATAGATATATAATACTGTACAGCTTTCTATGTGCCAGCCAGTTCGAAATTCAAATAAAAGCCTCGATGAGTTACCTCTTTGGTCGCCATGTTGCGTATTAGAAGGTCGTTCCATTTTTAAATTACACGAGAATTATGATTTTAAATTGGTTTTTATAGAACTATTGCCGGCTGCTGCTAGACCAGTACATCCAGTTCCATTTATCTCAAAGAAGGTTGTCAAAATAATGCTCAAATTACCAAGCACGTTGCTTATCTTAACTTTTAACCGGATTCAGATAGATTCACATTCGATTTCCAGGGTAGTTATGTGATACTTACAGCTTGAACCACTGCCTTGTTAGATGCGATGATCACGTTTGGCGGGTCACCGACAGGAGTAGCTGTTCCTCCAATATTACTGAACAGCACCATTGACATCAGTATTGGAACTGGATCCATATCCATGACTTCACATAGCCTGAAAGCATCACAAAATTCTATTTTAGATACTTAAATTTTATGAGCTTGTTGGTCTAAAGGTAGCAATGTATAGCTTTCGACCAATTGTTCTATTCCCAAGGTGTGCAACATGTCTATACGTGATACTGTCTATAGTTTACACGAGTAGTACACATTTAAATAAAACACTTTAACGGTTACAACGCAATATATTGGTTAAACTTATTTGAAGTCTCCCCGTGACCACGGCTGCTGCAAAGCATCCGAAACGTCGGGCCGAAGTTAAAAATCGTTTTCAAATAAGTTTAACTAATATATCGCGTTTTTAACCGTTAAAGTGTTTTATTTAAATGTTTATATCTGATTATAATTCTAGATTTATCAAAATTAATATCCAGATTTCAGACGAAGTCCAAGATCTTTCAGCAAAATTATAAATTGATTAGAAAAATCTTGGCCCGGTGGGGGTCGTGGCTTCGATCGTTCGTATAGGACTAGAGTCTGCAGTAAAGCACCTTCTATGTGGACCCTGTACTCGTCAGTTCTCTATCATGATCATTACCTTATGGTGACGGGCGTCATGAGTAGAACTGTGGTGACGTTGTCCAGAAACGTCGAAAGGAACGCAGTGATCGCACACAGCACCGTTATGAGAGGCCAAAGCTTTCCCTTGGTTACCTGGAAACAAAAATTAAATTAAATTGTGTAAGGCTTTCACGGCCATCGTTCAGCATATCATTGTTTTTCGGATGAATAATTCTTCGCGCAATCGAGGAGCTAACATCTCCTGATGGTGCCGCCCGCTCGTGATGGCGAAACGGGGCTCTCTACACACTAACGTAATCACATCAAAAACTGTAATATTTTTCACACGATGGCACTATTAAAAATCGATTGTAATTTTTTTTTTAATACTACTCGGGAAGGTTTTGCACCGGCATCCATTCATAGCATATACTACAAGACATAACATCAACCAGATCAGTCTACAAAATCAGATGACATTTTTATCCAACTTTCATGTTTCTGTCATATAATATCCCCATTTAACGGTTTAAAACCACAAACAATTCGGTAAATCATTGTCTGAATTACGACGCAGATGAGCGTTGGCATACTTGCATATCATGTGACTTTAACTTAAATAATCATAAATACGACCCGACGTTTCGACGATTAAGGTAACGGCTGCTGCATAGCTGAAACGTCAGGTCACAGATAATAAAAATTACTAATATATTTTACATTTAAATAAAAGCTTTTATAACACCCATCGCGCAGGTCGTAGTTAAAATAATTTGTAAATAAGTTTGACTAATAAAATTCCCGATGTAAACCGTTAAAGTGGTTTTATTAAAATGCTACTTGCGTAAGCTACAGACCGTATCTAATATATTTAACGTTGTAAATATTATTTTAAATAATTATCATAAATGTAATTAGAATTTCAATTCGTTTAAACTATATAAATTAAACATCGATTTAAAAATTTAAAAAAAATTACGATTCGGGCAGGCAACCGGCATGCCGTTGCTCTAAGTTACCCAGTCTACCCAGTCCTACGCGTTATCGCCAATTTTTTTTTAGCCAATTGATACATGCACCTCTCGCGCAATGTAATTTTAACTTTAATAGTTACTTTTTAAGGTTTAAATTAGTTCAACTTTATCTGCCGTGATTTTGTTTACAATCAAGACACCGTCATTAAAACAGTCTAGAAATGTAGACATTGACTATGAGCACGAAACGTGGTGTCAAGGTCTGCGCTATCTGATCTCGTTGGCAGTTAAACATCTTCCGATAAACGAATGATAAACCTCTGAGCTACATCTATACCTACTAATGTTATAAAGCTGAAGAGTTTGTTTGTACGCGTTAATCTTAGGAACTACTAGTTCGAATAAAAAAACAATATTTTGTGTTGGATAGAACATTTATCGATGTATGAAACATTAGGCGACCAATAAGAGCGAGGAAACAGGGGAAAGTCTGGAAAATTAAAAAACAATTGTGTGGGACAGACCATTTATCGAGGAAGGCCTTAGGGCTTAGGCTTTCAAACATTAGGTTGAAAATGTGGAGAAAACGGGGTTAATTATTAATCTTTGGGGTTTTCCGACGCGTGCGCTGCGAAAACGTTTCAAGAACCCAAAAACTATGTAGAAGAATCATTCCGTTTTAATCATTTAAAAAAGAATGGAATGTAGGTATATCTTTCAAGATTAACTCAGAGGAATCAAATTTGGTCGAAATACTGCATATGGCAAAAAAGCGTTTGCAAGGCCAGCTACAATTTCAAGAAAAATTCAAACCTTCAAATATACGCAAGAGGGTAAATACGTTCAAAACTATATTATTTTCACATGACCCGACGTTATGGACGCTTTGTAGTCGCTGTGGTAGTGTGTAGGGTGTTCCTAATTTGATTAGTTTTTTAAATATGATTTGACTTTCACCCTCCATCTTCAGTCCTCCCTTGACCACGGCTACTGCATAGTATCCGAAACGTCGAGTCTTAATTAAATTAAGTAGTAGTATGAAAAACTGTATTCTACCTCAAATGTGTATACAGCCAAGAAGTCAAACATGCCGGTCTCCGCCATGATGGCGACGAGGATCATCATGCTGAAGAGTAAGAGAAGAGTCTCGACGTCCAGCCAGGAAATCAGTTCGGGTAGCGAGGGTCGTTCTCCCAACATGGAGATGACTCCTAGCGCTGTGGTGGCTATGATTACAGCTGCCATTGTTCTGTTTACAACCTGGAAATAATACGCAAATTATGTATTTCTTTAATCACTTTTTATTACACATAAACTAATAAATGCTAGAGTGGAGTGTAATGGACGGCCTTATCGCTGCTGCCGCCGAGCTGACTCGGGAGCTCAATTGGTAGAGCAACAACCATGCCGGTTCAAGTCCAGCCAGACACGAAATTTTTTAAACTTATTTTCTATTTTTAAATTATATAGTGCCTTCATGTGCATATTATAAGAAATAATAAAGTTTTCAAAAAATATTAATAAATAAAAATATACAAAATTTCAAAATAATAAAACTGTAATAAATAAAAAAGTGAGGCTTGTCCGTGTTACTATACTAATATATAAAGCTTGAGAGTTTGTTTGTTTGGACGCGCTAATCTCAGGAACTACGGGTTTAAATTGAAAAATTATTTTTGCGTTGGTTAGAGCGTTTATTGAGGATTATCCAATAACTAGTAAGATAGATACAGCGGAAAATGTGACAAAAATTGGGAAGAATATTCATCAATATGGGTTTCCAAGGCGCACGCTGCAACGGTTCAAGATAACCAAAATATATATATGAGAGAATGATTCCTCTTTAAATGATCTAAAAAAAGTCGGCGCTATATGTCTACCTAAGATTTGCAAGAACAACTTGCAATGGACGCGACCGATGTCGTATATAATAACTATTCTACGCGCCCGAAGTCACGAGAGTAGCTAGTATGAATTGTAAAATAAATTTAATAATATTAATTCATAAATATTTCCCGAATTAGAGGGCACTCTGGCCACACAATTGGGTCAGTTTTGTATTGATTTAATGACAAATGTCTGTGTTATCAATGACTTATCGTTAGAGCTAAAATCGCGTGTACATAGACGGCATGTCCGTACTCTATGCACTGTCCGAACAATATTTTCTTCCAGATTCGCAACCCACGGTCGAAATCAAAGTATTGCACAATGTTGTATGTTGTTGTTCTAAAGGAAGAAAGTGCATCTCATTCAGTAGAATACCTTTTATGGTTTAGAACGAAATTAATTTATTAATTGATCTAAAATACTGTCTGTAGTTTACGCGAGTAGTATACATTTAAATAAAACACTTTAACGGTTCTAAACGCGATATATATTAGTTAAACTTATTTGGAAATTATTTTAACTACTGCTCGACGTTTCAGATGCTTTGCATCAGTCGTGGTCACGCGGAGACTAAAGATGGAGGGTGTCTCAAATGTGAAAGTAAAGAGAGCTACGCTAGCGCCATCTAGGTAATTTAACTAATTTATATCGTGTTTTTGTACTTAGATTGATTTTGACTAACAGCCGCTGTCCCGCGATCTCGTTGGGCTCATTGACTGATAAATTTCACGTTTTTAAACGTATGACGTGTTCTATGTAATGTTTACACTAGCGTGAAATACTTAAATATAAGGCACATTTTTTTATTTTTCGTAAATAAGTACAAAATTTTGACATCAACATAAACATGAAGACACCAAACATATTTTTATATGTTAAAAAACTACTGCCAAAGATTTTAATGATAAAAACAAAAACAAATGCCAACCTTAAAACGAATATTTCTTATCAAAAAGATATAGTTTTAATAGGCCACCTATGAACTTCCAACGATCTCGTAAGTAAGTAATAAAAGTGAGTGTCTAATTATCAAACATCATTATTAACTCGTAAAATCACTTAAGATTAAAACGTTAAAATAAAAATGGACTATAACACAGAGGCATATAGGTCATAATAGCTTATTCGTCAAATGTAAACAGTTAATTTGATCGGTTTATTTACGTTTAATATCATCAAGCTTCCTTATTTATATAACGTCTGGGAATCGCTGTCATTTTCACCTTAAGCTATGTACTAAGTATTTAAATAAAACACTTTAACGGTTTAAAATATGAAATATATTTGATAACTTATTACGATTTACTTTAACTACAGTCTGAACTTCAGTTTGAAAAATTACCAATTGAGCTACCGAGTCAGGTAGGTTGGTAGAGCAACAGCACGGAAAGCTGACGATGCCGGTTCAAGTCCTGCCCGTGTCGAAATTTTTTTCAATTTATTTTCGATTTTTAAATTATATAGTGCCTTCATGTGCAATAACATGTGAAAAATATTAATATTTTCGAATGTCAACAAATTACTCAATTGCTTTTTGTGTTCACTAGATGGCGCTGGTTTTGATACAGATTATGCAAAAAAAATGTCACACAGTTATTCCGATCTCTCACATGATAATATTTCATTTAAGTACTCTCAATTCGGAGCATATATATGTACTGAAGACAATTTTCGCCAATTTTGATATCAGACAACTTACCTCAAAAATAATCAAGACATACAACCCGCAGAGCAGCGCGCACGCATAAATAACGCCTGTAGTTGGGTCTATAGGATCTATCGTGTATGTAATACTGAAGGGGGCGCTCTGATTGGACGTCGTCTTCATGCGCAGTGCCATATCCGAAGCGTTCTTAGCTGATAGCTTGAGAACGGACGATCTCGTTTCGCCAGCTATGAAGTCAAAATCGGCTTCTTGGAGGGGAATAGGCCACTGTTCTGAAATCTAAAAAGAAAAAATAATCAACAGATCGTGGCTTCGATCTCCACCGCCTCCAACATTTTTCTTAAAAATTTATAATTTCTCTGAAACATGTTGAACTTCGTCTGGACATCATGGTTGGATCATCATTAGTATGGGTGGTAGAAGTATCAAAGATCACGTTTAATCGGTTCCAGTCTATGGATTTACGAATATCCAAAGCCAAAAATAGGTCGTTATCGCATCTTGTTTAGATGCTATAGGTTGGTATTAAACCTCCCATCAGGCAACCCCAAAGCTCGTCTGTCCTTCTCCGTCATAAAAAATACTACCTTCAATCACTTTAAAATATAACATTTATACACACTTAATATGAAATGCGTTTTAGCAAAAGAATACGCCCTCAATAACACATTTTATTCCAAACCAATTGTTCAAATATTGCGACTTATCTGTAGCAAATATAAACCAATAAGTATTTTCAAGTAGTGCCTTCAAAAATGATGTAAATACTGGTAAAAGGCCAGGTCATTAATATAATAAAAAAGTATGTTTATTTTGGAAACAACACACGATCAATTGTATTAAGATTATTATAACCTTCCTTAACAAGGATTAAGTAGGAGCTACGACTAGTAGAAGAAGATATTCTTTTAAAAGACGAAAAGAACAGAGAGGATTTTCATATAAAAGTGGCAGTAAATGTAAATACACAACTAATGTTACATTGACGTTCGTAAATAATACAAACACGAAATATCTACCTACATTTTTAAACGACATCGTAAAATATGACCTCTATACATTTTTGGCAATAGACACTGTATTTGATATTTATTCTATTTGTTATCGTTTGTGACTCACCAGACCGGTGCTCAGCTGTTCTAACCATACAGTCATCTTCTGTGTAGCGTCGAATTCGCTGGCGTTCATTTTATTTTTAGTTTGCTCCGAAACAAATGGTCCTTTGAGCCGGAGGAATACTGCTAAATCGGTCTTTGATACGTTTAGCGAATATGCTGAAAATAAATTATTTGTTATCACGTGTACTTAAGAAAACTTAGAAATATTATATTAAAGGGTAGATAGATTTATTTATGAATCTTGTTTTAGTAATAAACGGCGGCCTATTCTATGTTTGCGTTCAATTTCATACCATATCATCAAAAACACATATCAGTAGAATACATTGAGACTCATTAGTCAAGTTAATAGCTTTGTGACAAATTTATTTCAAATGGTCAAAGTTTCGGTCGGGTGGGGCACAGAGTCTGATTAATCACTTGAGTAAAATATACTTAATTATGAAAGAGGACGTAACAAATATGTATTCCCCATAGATTTTTTTTTATTATTCATAATTTACGCACATTCATTAATAACGTAAACAATAAGTCATGTTTGTTCTACTTGAGGCAAAAACTATATCTCTATTAGCTAGTAGATGATTAGATTTTTGTGCCCTGCTGAACCAGGGGCCTAACAATAGCTCATCTAAACTAATATATAAAACTGAAGAGTTTGTTTGTAAGGCACTAACCTCAGTAACTACGGGTTTGAAATGAAAAATTGTTCTTTTTTTTGGTTAGAGCAGTTATCGACGAAGGTTATATATATAGGCTATAAAACATCGCCCTGTGACTAATATAAGCGAAGATACAGCGAGAAATGTGAAAAAATATTGGGAAAATCATTCATCATTCTAGGTTGCCGAGGCGCACGCTGCAAAAACATCAAGATACCCAAAAAATATGTATGACGGAATAATTCCTCTTTAAATTATCTAAAATCCGCGACGCTTTATATAAAAATAATATTAAACTTTTTATTGCACAAACATAGACATAAAAACATAGATACTTAGAAGTATATATACAAAATAAAACATGTTTATATATATCTATTTATCTATATATAAAGTTTATAGAGATGAAGGGGTTTGCAAAAACGAAATTGGATGTCCAAAATAACGATTCTCGCGGACGAAGTCGCTGACAATATACATAAAAGATTATTGAAATAAAAATAGTACTTACTCTTGATTTCCCCTGGGTTTAAATTACTGTTTCTCACAATGTGCTCCTTTTCATTGTACATGAGGAAGACGAGAGTAAAGAAGACCCAGCAGGCAAGCAAGAAAGACATCTTGATATAATGTCTGGCACATTGGATCTACAAAGATAATATGTTATCTCTTAATAACAATATTAATTTAAAAATCGAATTAAATTGCAAATAAGCTTTAAGATAATTTAGTCAAATCATTATTATTTTCACAATTTGCACATAATAACTGGAAAAGTCTAATATTAAATACTGTCTATAGTTTACGCGAGTAGTACACATTTAAATAAAACACTAACGGTTTAAAACGCGATATATTAGTTAAACTTATTTGGAAATGATTTTTAACTTCGGCCCGACGTTTCGGATGCTTTGCAGCAGCCGTGGTCACGGGGAGCCTCCCCGAATAATTTCCAAATAAGTTTAACTAATATATCGCGTTTTAAACCGTTAAAGTGTTTTATTTAAAAGTCTAATATTTTTTTCAATATTGTTGTACATGATAGCAGTACATAAATTAAAAATCGCTTATTAATTAAAAAAACGACTCTAGCGCGCGACAGGTACATGTGTCAATAACTTTAAAAAATTCGACGATGAGGTGTAGGACTCGGTACTTCATTGGTCCCGAACGCTGAGGATGCCGGTTCGAGGCCTGCCCGAGTTAAATTAATTAAATTATAACTACGTAGCTTGATAACTCAGTTGGTCAGGGCATATTTAAGGAATGATATGGTCATTAGTTCAAGTCTCGCCTGTGTCATCATGTTTTTCAATCTGAGAGGCGGTTCGGTCTACCGCAATCAATACTAATATTCTTGAGATTTTTGTATGCGAAAATAATTCGAGAACCCAAAAAACCATCAACGAAAGAATGATTCTTCTTTAACCGATCTGAAATATCTACGAGTTTGTTTACAAAAAACAAATAAATAATACTACTTATTTTATGCCAAAAATAAATATTCCATGCGAACAAAGTTGCAGGCGCAGCTAGGCAATGGCTGCATGACCATTGCCGAACGGTACCTTGGTGCGATTGGGTCTAAAGATAAGTAACCATATTAACTATGTTATGACCTGACGTTTTGGATGCTTATAGAAAGAGACTATTTATATAAAACGGTTTAAGGTGGATATGTGTTGTTGACAATATATCGATATTTAAATAAAACGCTCTAAAGCAGCCGAGGCCGAGGAAGACAGAAACGTCGGGCTGTAGTTAAAAACAAATTGTAAATTAATTTAACTATTATATTTCGTGTTTTGAACCGTTATTTAAGTGTGTACTACTCGCCTAAACTACTTATAATCATCGACATAATATCGAACAATTTATTCAAACTGTAACTTAGAAATACATAGATATGTTAGGTACTTAAGCATCGAAAAAGTTATTGTAAATTGATTTTACTTAGTAACAGAAAGGAAAAACCAGTTATCACTAGATAAAACTAAATCCATTGATTTCGAGATTGTTTAATCTGTACTGTACTGTCCGCAGTATCTTATCAGTGTTATACAGTAGGATACAGTAGTATCTCTAAATACGTATTCAAACTAGATATGTGCATATGGCACTAGCTGTAGAAGCGACTTCGTTTGAGAAGAGTTAGTTTAGGCTTAAAAATGTGTTTTCGGATAAACTATAAATAAATAATATCGCATTAATGTTTAACAATCATTCACGCTTAAACGGATGGGCCAAAGTTGTTAAAGTTCTTGTCAAAATAGCGAAAAATCTAGAATACAAACACACAAAATACCAGCGTTAACGCATCAGCAAGAGCGCTGACGAGTAACGATACCTAGTGGTCGGGGGTTTGACGCTCGCCCATGCCATCGATTTCATTATAAAGATATCATGTGCAAAATTTGAAAACAATGTAGGTTTAATGTTGTGAACTTTAATAGCTTATTGATCCCGAATAGTTCTAGTGTTAACAAAATATAGATGCGCATGCGCAACTATTAGAAATAAATAACAAATACTTAGTAATCTGCATTTAAGACTAACTTGTACATAATTGCACGATTTGAAGGTCGAATGACGTTAGTCGAAGAATAGCTGCGATAAATTAAGATTTACATTACCTTACTTTGTCTTTCTGACGATTTTTCGCCAAGGCTGCAACAGAACGATTTCACGATTTAAATATATTTTTCTGTTATCAGCTGAAAAAAATATCGGACATTCGAGTGGGGTTCGATTCGTGTTAAAAAGAGACAACAAAAACTTCGCTTATTTCTCTTGATGGTACTATATACCTAAAAAACCGATTTTAGATTGAAACGAATTTGGTTAGAGCACCAGTACGTAACGCTGTGGGTGCCGGTTCAATTCTTGTTCGTGTCATAAGATTTTTTCGATCTAAAATCGATTTTTAATTTATATAAACTCTTTATACATTGCAATTATAAGCAGTTTGTAAACTGTTCTTACGTGTGACTACAACCAACAAGTCCTAGATTCGATTTCCACCGCGTCCAGTAACTTGGAAATCATTTTCGAATAATATATTAGAGACGATGCGCAAATCTATACATACTATGCTATTTCAAAATGCAATACATTTGATGCAACGTCGATAGACGCAATAGGCCGGCAGCGCATTTTAACTAGATGTTACTTGCATTTTACATCCCATCAAGTGATTAGCTAGACAACCATTTTTTACGATTAATTGGTAATTTTATTGAGGAACCCTAAACGTCAAAGCTGACAAACACTTTCTTTATCTTTCTAAAACAACGTTGTCTTAGACTTAAATATCAAGATTGCGATGAGAAGGTTATCTGTATAATATAAATATTGAAAGAGGCTCAGTTATTTTCGATTTGTTGCTCCAAACTACAAAAAAAATAAAAAACAACAACAGCCTCCGCCGACACTTATTTACAGACACGAACTGTCATACATGAAACTTCGTCTGGAAATCTGGATATAAAATGGGTGGTAGGAATATTGAAATTCCGTCCAGATCACGAACCACCGTCCACAGATGAAAAGGCCTACCCTACCCTACTAGCCTAACCTACAACCAAAATAGGTCGATAGCACACCTTGTTTAGATGTTATAAGGCTGGGCTACTTCAACTACAATCTAGTGAACTCCACGCTTGACTATCCTCCTCTATCATAGACACTCTTACCAATTGTCTTTCTGTGGATGTATCTCGACAGCATCAGGACATTTCTCCTTCTCCTCTCGATTATTATTGAGGTGCGGTGCTGACTTGACCGAGGGCAGCCGTTTGGTCTCACGATTCCCATTTTGCTGTTCCAGGGGTATGCTGTCCGATTTTGCTGCAAAAACAATAAAAATTAGCAGCATATAGGCTAAAAACTGTAATATTTTTCACATGTAATATGATGGTAATATCAAAATTAAAATTGATTTTAATTTGAACTTTAATAAACAAATGTTAAGTTTGAAATTATATTACGCGAGAGGTCCATAAAATGAAAACTGTGCCGCCTCTGTAGCCAAATGGTTAAACGTTTTGAGTGGCCCTGAGTTCGAATCCCAGGGAAACATACAAAATTGTTTGGCTCGACACATAAGTCTGATCAACTACTTGCCCGTTAAAAGAACGGATCAGTGAAACGGATACAGAAATGTGTTCGCCCCATGCCCCACGAGGGGGAATCGGGGTTTCACTCTTGTGGGGGCATGGGCAATGGGGGTTCACGATGGTGGATCTCAACACATATATTATACTATCTTATAATATCAAAACAAACACATAACAGATACACCAGTTTATTGTGAGTATTATACATTTCTTAATTTAAATCCAATTAATAAATGTATAAATTAACAAGTGTTTTTACTTACAGTTGTTAACACTAAACTTCACTACAGTTGAAAATTTACAGAAAATCAATATCAGGTAAGTAGTCTACCCACGGAAAAACATGGCAGGGGGTCTACGACACTAAAACTTTTGGGAACTCTGGGTTAGAGCAACAGCACGGTTCAAGTCTTGCCCGTGTCGTAAAATTGTTTCAATCTAAAATTGATTTTTATCCTATACTAAAATTATGGATCTAAAAACTTTGTTTGTTTGTTTGAACGCGCTAATCTCATCAACTACTGTTTCGAAACTAACTCGAGCTGGAGTTGGTACCTCGCTCCAAATGGTCGCAGCCCCATTTTTTATCAAAAGCCTTCCTCGATAAATAGTCTATTCAACACTTTGTTTTCAATTCATCCTGAGGTCAGCGCGTTCAAAGAAACAAAATCTTCAGCTTTATAATATTGCTATAGATACATCGTAGGTCGCCCTTGATATATTCGTAAATACGACTTAGGTTTAGCGCCGAAGAGAAATCTTTACGTACATATAATCTATAGTCGACAAGACTGGCCAGTGTTGTTGCGAAACCAGATCGAACCGGTTTAAAATAACATCTACTTGGAGCTGCGACAAGAATTAACGGCTAAGAGAGACACTCATGTAAACTAGTGGGTTCCGCCAGAGAATTTAAACGTGAAAGTCATAATTTAAGCCTTAATTATATTGGATTACCCTGTACAGACATAGTATGGCGTGTGTATAGCAACATAAATATGTTATAAATAATATTATTTACCAAAATTCGATTTCTAAGATATCTATAGGTCTTATATAGGTCTATATTCGATGTCTATAGGAATATATTATGCCATAGTTAATTTATTTATTAAAGTAATAGTGGGTTTCCCAAGTGGCGCATCTTGTTTTGATGCTATGGGCTGGAACATATAACCCACCATCAAGCAACCCCCATACTATATCCTACTCTATTATAAAAAATAACTCCCTTCTGTTGTTCATTGTGGTAAATCACGGCCTTTAATCAGAACACAGATTTTTTTAACAAAGTCTCAATTTCGTTTTTACTTCATTAAATTCTTGAAACTTATAAATAAACAAATTATGTCCGATATACATGGCTCGTGTTTATTGTCATCTTGGAAGACGTCTGTTGATACTATTATCCATAAAAAAATTATGGCCTCCGAGACTGAGGTAATGTTTGCTTTAAATGTACCTTAGATGTGTCAAGGTGTTCTTCGAAGGTTTTAGGAAGACTTAAGACCTTCAAAAAACACTTATTCCCTTACTGGGAGCGTAACTCAGTTTTGAATGAAGTGTAATGGATATACAGAGTATCTATTAGTGGAGACTTGACAAAATGGTAAACATTTTCGTCCGTTGACCACCATTAGATAAAAAATACTACGCTACCAAGCATTGAAATAAAACCTTAAATCTATTTTGGTTAAAATCTTACAAGTCTCAATGCACCGATAGAGCGACATCACGAAAAGTTGGGTTCGAGTCCAGGCTGTGTCGAGTTTTTTTTAAATCTACACCAATCTTTAAATTACATATAGCTACCAAGACCAACAATTTGTGAAACTAATTAAAAATGTTCCAAGACATATGTTGTGTTTTTTTTTAACCTGTTTTTATCACTTTTTAATTATAAAGGAGTTTTTATCGAGGTAACACGTAAAAAGTGTACATGTAGGCATGTTTGGGGATCAAAATTTCCTTTTGCAAACCTCCTCATGTTTATAAATTGTAACGTCCCGTCGTTCTTGCAAGGTAATATTAAAAGATACACATATATATACTGTCGCCAAATTTTTTATAGATAATTTAAAGTGGATTCATTCTTTCATACATATTTTTGAGTACATTGTAATGTTTTCGCGGGGTACGAAATACGCCGCGCGTTATAGCCTAAAGCATTCCTCGATAAATGCTTGAACCAGTAGTTATTGAGATTCAAACAAACAAACTCTTCAGCTTTATAATATTTGTATAAATACTGTCTGTAGTTCACGCGAGTCGTACACATTTAAATAAAACACTTTGACGGTTTAAAACGCGATATATTTAAGTTAAACTTGTTTGAAAATTATTTTTAACTACGGCCCGACGTTTCGGATGCTTTGCAGCAGCCGCGGTGACCACGCGGAGACTAAAGATGGAGGGTGTCTCTGACGTCAAAGTAAAAAGTAGGGCCGTAGTAAAAATTATTTTTGAATGAGTTTAACAAATATATATATGGCGTTTTGAACCGTTTACGTGTTTTATTTAAATACTAGTAAAGATCATTTTGGACAGGACCGAGTTTGGACATACAAACAACGAAGCAGCTTTTAAAAATACTTAAGACAAGGGTTTTTGTTTTTCCGAATGGAACCCTAAAGTAAAGACTCCACACGTTGTTTATAAACAGATTTGGGAAGCTGCTCAGCTATTATGTCTTTGCAACACTACGTATATGAATATAATTGCTTCTCGATGTGTCACATGTTGAATGGTATTAAACGTATTTATGAATTAAATTAATATGACTTTGTGCATATTTAAATTGCAGATTTGTTTCGTAGTCTCGAATATCTGCTAAAGTAGAAATCTAATAGAATATACTAGACGTGCTTTACGAAACAACATACATTTTAAGAAACTTTAGAGATATCAAGAGTCACGAGGGTAGGGGGGTTTATAAACATATAAATTCCCCTAAACCTGGCTCGCTGATAACTCCCTTTTGTTGGTCGTTGTGGTAAATCACGGCCATTATTCAAAACTCTATATTTTTTAACAGAACGTCAATTTAATATTCACTTTTAAATAAAACACTTTAACGGTTTAAAACTCGATATTATTAGTTAAACTTATTGAATATGATTTTTAAACTGGGTCCCGACGTTTCGGATTTAATCCCCGTGACCACGGCTGCTGCAAACATCCGAAACGTCGGGCCGGAGTTAAAAATCATTTTGAATAAGTTTAACTAATATATCGCGTTTCAAACCGTTAAAATTGTTTTATTTAAATGTGCACCTCTCGCGTAAACTATAGACAGTATTTAATATTCACTTCATTAAATTCTTGAAACTTATAAATAAACAAATTACGTCCGCTATACATGGCTTGTGTTAATTCATAATTGTCATCTTCGAAGGCGTTTGTTGACACTTTTATCCATAAAAATTATATGGCCTCCGAGTTTGAGGTAATATTTGCTTCAAATGTACCTTAGATGTGTCAAGGTGTTTTTCGAAGGTTCCAAGTTTTCCCCCTTACTTGGAGCGTAACTCGGTTTTGACAGGCAAGCTTGCAGAATTAAATATGAATGCGATATAATGAAAAGGTCTCTCAAAAACGGTTGATGCAAATGATAATAAAAAAGAAAAACAAACAAAGCTATTTTAAATCCATTAAATTTAGATAAGCGTCTTTTTTTGTAATCTTGACATTGTGCCAAATAATTTAATTGTAGCCTTGGTTTTGTTTTTTGTCCAATATTAGAGAGATTTGGAAGTACACTGTATACTCGAATTTTCTAGATTTCAACTGGAATACAAACAAACTAAAAAGAATAAATCCAGTTCTCTCGTCAGGACGGACACGATGTTGTTTCACATCATGTTCGTTTCACAGATTTAGTTTACAAACAAGCAAAACATTTTTATCTGTTTAAAATGCGTATGTTAGATATTTTTAATTTTTGCCCCCCTGTGACCATGGAGCAACCGAAACGTCGCGTCGGTAATTACAATAATTTAAAAATAAGTTTGTGGCGTTTTAATTAGTAGTTAAAATTGTCATTAATAGTTTTCAAAGATGAGTCATTTAATCAAACTGGATAATAAATATAGAATTGAATAATTTATAGGCAAAAAGGTTTACCTAATTAAAAATTAAGCAGTACACATTTCAATAAAAAACTTCAATGGTTTAAAACGCGATATATATATATATATAGCGAAACGTTGCGCCGTAGTTAAAATTATTTTTAAATAAGTTAAACTAATATTTAACGCGTTTTAAACCGTTAAAGTGTTTTATTTAAATACGCTTCTGTATCAAAACTTACCGATTTCATTCTCGTATTTCTTCTGAAACGGTTCCAAATCTGGATCGTACTTGATCTTCTTCGGGAGTTTGAGCCACACCTGCAGAGCTTCTGCAGTCAGCTCACCAGTTGACACCAACGAGTATTGACTCCTACTCAACTCCTGGTCTTGGTTCCTGGATACACCCTTCCATTCTTTTACTCTTTTCACTAATTTATCCATGGTTCAAGTTAAAACTACCACATAACTATAATATATCAGCGTACTTGGAGTTAAGTCCTTTATTATAAACACGATTAGTTAATATAAAAAGAAAAAATATTCACAAACAATTTAACTTTTCAAATATCCAAAAATGTCTTAAATGATTTTGATTGATAGTTCTTCGTGCAGTCTGTGGTCAACCTATTAAAATTAACGAATATAATCTATTACCTACATTTTTGACAGATATTTTTTTAGTGTTGCACTACATAAACAACAGATAACATATTATTGTCTGTTTTGGAAATTGATTTTTAATTTTTATTTATTACTAGATGAGATTGTCAATTCTGTTTTGTCAAAGTTTTTTTTTTTAATAATATTTTATGACCTGGTAACGGATAGAAATTGTTTCTACCGACTTATTGTTAGTATGTAAGGATGGTATATAAGTAAAAGAGGCTTAGAATTGTGTGAACGATATAGTGTATAATAATAACAAAGGCCATAAAATGTATTTGGTTATATAAAGACAAAAATTTAATTTTATACTATAGAGCCGGTTTGAAAAAGTTGTCAAGAAAATGGTGGTAGTGATTGATGCATATAAAATTTTATTAAAATCGATCGATCTTTTTACCTAACGAACATGAAAATATTATATTGTATTGGACAGATTTAGATGCGATCTGCACCCTTTAATAACACACCGCTTCCCTTTTGAACAAATAAAAGTTACTAGTTCTAATAGCTATAAATACCGCCGCCTCTATAGCCAAATGATTTAACTTACACAATAAAGTCAGTAGTAGTAGTAGTAAGTTAGTGAGAGGTCCTGGGTTCGAATCCCAGGGATCCAAAAAATTGTTTCGGTCGAGCAGGGCACAGAAGTCTGATCAACTACTTGCCTGTTAATGAAATGCGTTCGCCCCATGCCCCACGAGAGGAGATTTCACTAATAGCTCACCAAGCGTTTTATTTATGTTATTAATTCCGTTCCGAGCCTTATAATCTTTGACAGGCTTATCAGCAGTAATTCTATAGGCAAATAATCAACGTGTAGAAGATTTGATTTTAACTAATGTGTAAAAATGTATCTAGATATCAGTCAGCACGGTACTAAGACACCGTGTCTTGATATATATACATATAGCTGGAGTTTCTTCCATCGAGTGAACTACATAGTTGCATCATAGTGGTTAGTGATATACTAGATTAATCCTTACTAATATTATAAATGCGAAAGTAACTTTGTCTGTCTGTCTATCTGTTACTCTTTCACGCCAAAACTACTGAACGGATTTGAATGAAATTTGGTACACGTAATATGGTCTAGACCCTGGAAAGAACATATGCTATTTTTTTAAATAAATAAATATTTGCTTTTTATTGCGAAAAGGGGGTTGTAAGGGGTTAAAAAGAGGGGTGAAAGTTTGTATGGAAATTCGTGGTTTTTGAAGATAGAACATTAAAACTTTCTTCTTTGCCTATTTGAGAATAGGAGTGGGCTTGGGGGTGGAGGCGGGACTGGAAGTGATGTGAGGTGAGAGTGTTGCGGCAAAGTAGCACTTACAACGCAATAACATAAATTAATAAACAGCCTAAATAATTAAAAATTCTACCCCAAGGCACTTTTCCACGCGAACGAAGTCGCGGGCACAGCTAGTTATTAATATATCTAAATAAGATACGAATATCGTGAAAAATGTTATTCTTATCTCTCATATATGTTATATCAGAATTATAAATGAACTACGTGCGCCCGTGACTACGTCCGCGTAGAATAGTTATTATATATAAAAGTAGAATCGTTCTTTTGTTCGTGTTTTTTGGGCATCTCGAGCCGTTTTCGCAAAGCACGCAACGGATACCCGCGAAGATGAATAATTTTCCCCGTGTATAATCCTAAAGCCGTCCCCGATAGCCAATTCGAATCAACAGTGCCTTTGCGCGTTCAAACAGACTTCAGCATTATGATATTAGTAAAGATTTATCGGACATATAAATCAATAAGATCTTTGATATAAAATCGTAATTTATAATTGCGATAACTATAAGCAAATATCGTTCATAAGGCTTATTTGTAAATACTATCTATAGATTACGCGAGTAGTACACGTTTAAATAAAACACTTTAACGGTTGAAAACGCGATATATTAGTTAAACTTATTTGGAAAATGATTTTTAACTTCGGCCCGACGTTTCCCGACGAGTCACCCCGTGACCACGGCTGCTGCATAGCATCCGAAACTATTAAAAATCATTATCAAATAAGTTTGACTATTATATCGCGTTTTAAACCGTTAAAGTGTTTTATTTAAAGGCTTATTTGTTATTAACGTTCCTTGATGGATATCGATCGCTTTCTGGCGTTCTGGGTTCACATATTTGACGAACTCGATATTTTCTAGGATAAGTACAATAAATCAACTAGTAAGACAAGATGGTTTGCGAGTTCGCGAACATGGAGAGGCAATCCGAGGTCTTTGTCCTCAGCTGGGATCTTCGTAATGTGGGTGAGACCTAAACCAGTAGGACGGATGCGCGGCCGGCTGATAGTACCGCTTGACTCTATCTATCATATATGCAATATATATAAAACGTGTACAGCAAAATATCGCGTAGTTTGTACCCTGTAATTCAAACAATGATAGCATTGTAAGCAATTTAGCTTTCATATGAATTAAACATCAGATGCGCGTGTTTGGATTATGAAAATATAGTGTTTACGCCAGTTTAATAGGTAAATATTTTAGTTCGTATACCTTTAATATATGATGATAGTTTTTAGGGGCCACAGAATATCAGCGCTGGGACCTTAGTCCCAACGTAGCTGACTGGCTTCCTTTTCAGAGGCAACGATAGTAGTGTATTTATTTAAAATGTAATTAAATTTGTATGTTTGTAAAATAAGTTTTTTTTTTATTGTCGTTTGTGTGTTGTTTCTGAATAAACGTATTTATTTTCTGTTCTTATCTTATTTGATGCATTATACGTTGAGGGTGTTGCCTAGCATTCCCTAGCATTCAGTTGGGCATAGCATAGACATGCAGTTATAAGAACATGTGTTGGCGATGTTACAGGGCGAAACGAAATTTCGCATTTTATACATTTCTACCATAGACTGTGAAATAATAAAAAATATTACTTATAATTCACTATGTATATAAAATACTGACCAACCTCTAATTGTGCAACAATTATTTCAATTAACTGTTATATAAGATGAACTATAACTAAAAAATATCGCCATCGGGCTTTTGATTCCCACAGGTGGGATTTGGAATTATATTAACACATATCAAAATTTAAAACAATGATAATATTTTTGGGTGTACAAGTGGGACTGGAACTCCCGACCCATGTCATTTTTTATTTGATATTCACACAAGTGAAGCTATAACTGAACTACATACAAAAGTACATACAACTGCTACAGATAATAAACAAATAGATAAATCAAAGTAAAGATGGAAGGGTTTAAAACAACGAAAGAGGTTGATATTTCTGATAGAAATAAGACTTTGGTAGATTTGGATATTAAACGGTTAGTAGAAATATACAATTACCGTCCGGGTTACAAACCGCAGAGAGTAGAGTTCAAAATGTTATCAAAACAGGTCTACAAATCGACTTTTTAGATTAAAAAATGCCAAATTTCACCTTCCATCGAATGAACTCTATTCTCATCTGTACTCTATTATAAAAAAAAACTACCTACTTATAAAACCTTTTTCTCTAATCAATAAATAAACAAGTGTAACAGTCATTAAAATTTAATTAATTAATGCGGTCTAATGGGGACAAATACGATAATTTAAAATACATTTTATCATAATAGCTTTATGTTACTAATAACAACTAGTTTACGCGAGTAGTACACATTTAAATAACGGTTTAAAACGCGACATCTATTTGATAAACTTTTTCACGAATTATTTTAACTGCGGCCCGACGTCGGATGTTTTGCAGCTGCAGTAGTCATGTGGGGACTGGAGATGGCGTCCCTAATGTTAAAATAAAAAAAAAGATATCTATACTAATATATAAAGCTGAAGAGTTTGTTTGTTTGAACGCGCTTATCCCAGGAATTACTGGTTTAAATTGAAAAAACCTAATCTGGGACAAATAGCGGCGAAGAGACAGCGAGAAAAGTGAAAAAAAAACGGGGAAAATTATTCTCGTTTGTGGGTTTCCCTTGCGTACGCGGCGGAAACGGTTTAAGATACCCTAAAATGTGTAAAAAAGAATGATTCCTCCTTAAATAATCAAAAAAATAAGGTGTCGCGGGCATTTTTTATCTTTTAAGATCTATCTCGCAGGAACGACGGGACGCGTTAATAGAGGTTTGCAAAAACAAATTTGGATATCCAAAATAACTATTCTACGCGGACGAAGTCGCTGACACAGCTAGTGTAATATAAACAATTAATAATTCTCAGTTTTCCCAAATATATATATATGTATATCTATCATGTGACAAATAACATTTCATTGTTGACGGTTTGCAAAACGTAGTTGAACAATACAAGGCATTCTTCGTTCGTGTTTAGCGCGTGTATCTGCAAAACACATAACATATTATGCTAATTAGTTAGTTTATGGACTATCGCATAAACCTACTTGCGATTATTGTGTGTACCAAGTAAATACGTCAATTGTAACTGTTTAAAACGTAAAATATTTTATCTCACGCGCGACCGACTGTACTCGTGGGCGACAAAGACGGCGGTTGAATATTTGCGTTTTAAACGATATAAAAGTGTTTTATTCAAAGTAAAATGCATTACAATAGTTTTAAGAATGAAGAAGACTGATAAGCTGTCAACATCAAGGTTTGCCTGGACTTAAGATGTGCTGCCGGCCTACCTTAGCTTTAGAAATTTGAGAATTAAAATTCAAACGCAGGCATTTCTTCACTTTTCTGTGTACGGAATTCTGGCTTCTTAAATATCTAGAGTAGTTAGATGTTAGGTGTAACAAGTATAAATACTGTAAGTGTGTTGGCCCCATTGGG